TAGAGGTGCTTCTCTTGAACTCTAAAATGTGCCAACTTCCTTGAGCTACCGTAATTTTGACTTTAATTTTTGATTTCTCTACATGACCAGGCCGGTTATTGGGTATTTGATACACGTCCCGCCCCTTTGCCATTGGCAATCCAGCTTTGAGCTCAAATTTCTTGGTGTTGGGTTGTTCAATTTAAATAGTTCTTATATCAATCGACAGAGAAAGATTTGGCGCATCTAGTGATATTAAGAAAATCTAAATTGGACAGCCCAAAACCAAGAAATTTGAGCTCAAAGTTAGATTGCTGATGGCAAATGGACGGGACGCGGATCAAATGTCTCACAATCGAATTCAAATGCACCGAAAATGCCAATATTCGGCCCAAAACGTTAGTATTTTTGCAATTTTCCCTTTCATGATCAATAAAAAAAATTAGACGTTTATTTTTCATCCACTTGAATGCTTCACAAGTATCATCGAGACTCGGCTCGTTTCCCGCGTTGGCGATTTCTCCATTCTAAAATAACTATGGCTTTGAAAAAACGAGCTTTTACCCGAACAAAATCCTCAATTGATCCTTGAAAACGGTACGATACTGTTTGCTAAACGTTTTTTTTTAGGTTTAAATGATATTTGTTACGATTACCTGTTAATGAACAATAGATAGTAGGGTTCCGAGTAGCTGAGCATTGCTGGGAATACCTGAAAAGTTAAAAAAGCTGAAAAAATTCAATTACACAATCGAAAGTTCGCTATGAAAACCATTTCTTCAATTATTTTTGTCTTAATTTTCTTTTTAGATTTACTTTTTGAAAGTTCAAAATACGTGGCCGTTCAAATCTCAAGGGAAATCTTCGTGAAGATGAGAAAAAGACAGTACAAAGGTACTTTGAAAGTTTCAAGTACACAGGCCGTTTTTTTGCGAATCGAAGGCACATGTATTTTTTATAAAAGTTTGAGTTTGTGATTCAAAAATGATCTTCTATAGTGTAGCGAAGTGGTTCAAGATTCGTTTAAGTAGACTTGTCTTGCACTTTGTGCTCAAAAATGAGATTTTCGTATTTCTGGCACATTTCATTTTCTATTTGATTTACGGATCTCACATAAGACTACTGGTTTTGGCAAAAATGAATGAATACCGTAAAGGTTATCGGACATTTGATATGCCCCCACCCCTTTGCCATTGACAATCCAGCTTTGAGCTCAAATTTCTTGGTGTTGGGTTGTTGAATTTAAATAGTTTTTATACCAATCGACAGAGAAAGACTTGGCGCATCTAATGATAATAAGAATATTTAAATTGGACAGCCCAACACCAAGAAATTTGAGCTCAAAGTCAGGTTGCCAATGGCAAAGGGACGGGGCGCGTATTAAATGTCCGATAACCTACCGTAAATGTTTCTTGCTTACCATGTAAGTTTGAAAAACGGGTACAATATCTGGAGATAAACCCAAATATTGCACTGTGTCACTCCCGAGAAGCGCGATGAACCAAGAGAAAAGGAAAGCTATCACCAAAATGGAGACTGATCGGATTACCTGGAAATGGGAAATTTTAGAAATTTCAAGCCATTCATTTGCAAATCCTACCTTTTCTTCATAAGAATCTACCATAGTCGAAGCTGCCGGTGCTTTCTTTTTTGCTAGATACTTTTTTATGGCTAAATTTGTATTGTATTGCTAAATCTTTATCTAGAAATGACTTACCTTGTATCAAAAATGACATCAACAATATAAAGTAAAAGAAAAGTGTTAGAGCACTTATCAAGACACAACTCCTTGTCCAAATCTTTCGCGATTCGACTGAATACGCCAGTGGAGGGTTGCACAACCAGAGAGTTTCTATACAGCTTGTTCCACAATTACGGTAACCACTCTATTTTTGCCCAAATTTCATTGTATTGTCGTCATTTCATCAAACACTTCCACATACATTTTACAGGGTGCCCCACAATTACGGTAACCAGTTTTTGGAAAACTATTCTTTTCCAAAAAACTTTCCACAGAAAGTAGCATGCATAATATACCATTTGAAAGCTCTAATTCTCAGCATCATTAATACGTTAAGGATTTTTTAGCCAGATCTAATTTTTGACCCTTACTGGCCTTCGGAATATGCTCGTTGCAAGCACCCAACGGCGATCTGCCATTTTTCGTGGTTTTGAATCTAAGGAGCGTTTCGAAAAGATTGTTTTCAACTGAGTCAACTTTTTTCAATGCTTTTGGTTTAAAATAGAGGTAAACGTTAATCGAGCATGTGCAAGTTCATTGCTAAAACGGCCTTACAACTTGCTGCAAACTACCATTTTGCATGAAATTCGCCTTTTTTCGGGATTTCTGGTTTTGCTGATTGTCATTTTGGCTTTAAACTATTGAATTAAATTAATTTTGATAAAATATGTACAAATTTGATTGTATTTCCTGTTTCTCGGACGAATTTTTACTTAGAAAACAACGAAAAATGGCAGATCGCCGTTGGGTGCTTGCGGCGAGCTCATTTCGAAGGCCAATAAGGGTCAAAAATTAGCTCTGGCTAAAAAATCTTTAATGTATTAATGATGCTGAGAATTAGAGCTTTCAAATGGTATATAATGCATGCTACTTTCTGTGGAAAGTTTTTCGGAAAAGAATAGTTTTCCAAAAACTGGTTACCGTAATTGTGGGACACCCTGTAAAATGTATGTGAAAGTGTTTGATGAAATGACAACAATACAATGAAATTTGGGTAAAAAAAGTACCAGGAAGTGTCAAATTAAACCGGCTTTTAAATGCGAATCAATCTAACTTTTAACGCTGAATCGGATGACTTTATGGTCAATTTTTCGATCATAGCCCTTCTTTCAGAATCAAAGAAGTTAAAAAAGGATTCAGCATCAGTATTGAGAACCCTTACCGAACACACTGATAGCCCTATTCAAATCACCTTAAATTGACAAGAGTCAGAGAACTCCGTCATCCCTAACATTTCCAAGCATTTCTGCGAATCATTTCAAATCCAAAATAAAAGTTTAAATCTAGATTTAGTCCGTAGATCAATCAATTTTCCATTTGATTATTACCATCATCAATCGTTGTCACTCCCAACACCCATAACCATGTGGAAAAAGCAACGGCTGGGAGACAGATCACACAACAATACGTGCTAGTCGGAGTTCTTCGATGACTAGAAAAATTGAGAATTTCAAGTGAAAATTTCGGCTTTACAAAGCTGGCAAGAAAATTGAGATAAGGAGATCGATGGATAGGGTTAACAGTAGAAATTGTTGCATACAAATCGTGAAAACATACGGGGACATCAACCAAAAGCAGAGCTCACGAGTGAACTGAAAATTGGGATGAAGATGGCGAGGGATTGAGACGAGTATTAGTTAGTTCGATTAGTTCTTTTGATTGACTCTTCGCTAAGCTGGAGAATCTGACTTGAGTGCGGGTAATTGTGCGCCACTCTGTAAATGTTGTTTAATCAAACATTATCTTACTATATACCTACTAATTGGTTTTAGTGTCTTATTCGGTCCCTCTAGCTCCAGACTGATAGACAGCGTCACTAACCACTCGCGTATAAAGGAGCTTCAGAAATCCCGCATTTTTGCCGAAAACGGTTCAATTAACCCCCAAAAGTAATTAGATTTTCGAAAATTACATAAAATCTTGGATAGTCAAATAGTCAAATTAGTCATAAGAAAATAAGAAAATAAGAAATAAGAAATAAGAAATAAGAAAATTAGATATAAGAATAGTCAAATTTTCAGACCGATCGGCCCAGCTGTTTTTTCTAAAATAGCATAACAGACAGACACACACAAATACATAGTCTCTCTCTCTCTCTTATGATAATTAGAGATTACCTGAGCTGTGAAAAACATGCAATACGTTTGGCAGAGCTCAAAAATCAAGCAAATGTTTTGGAAAAATGAGGTGGTCGTGAGAAGGATTCCTGAATTGACTTTTAAAGTGCTTGAATAGGTGAAATTAGTCAAATGTTCAGTCTAGTCGAAGAATACTTTTATTTGGGTATACTGTAGCAAAACAGAATGTTAAAGTTGTACTTTTAACTGTACTTTTAGCTGTACTTTTGATTGTATTGACTTTCCTCAAGGTTTTTATAGAGATTGTATCGAGAAGAGCTTGAATTCTAAGCCTTTTCCATTTTTCTTACCGTGTTTCCCTCTCAAATGTCCTCTTTTACATGCCCATAAAATATTCAAATTGCCAAAATTTCCAAAAATATTGAACACAATGATGCCACAGCCAACCACCGGACGAGTGAACTCCATCAAAGCCTCTGACATTTTGAGGACTAAAGTTTGAGGATATTTGTTGTGATAATAAAATGATAAAACAATGATTTGATAGAAGTAATAGAAGAAGTAGATGTAGATAGAAGTAATAGATGATAAAAGTTTAATTCAAGATTTGATTCAAACACGAAAAGTTTTATTTCAAACCTTTTTACAAAGGTATCAAGAACAAATGAAACCTTTCTTTTCAAAAAAAAAAACGAAAATCTTGTGCCAATTCGATACTGATTCGGGTGTAGAAATTGAATTCAAGTGCGTTTATATTGTTAGCTAATCGCGTGAATTCGCGTTATTTGATTTATTCGACGAAGCACCAAACATTGAACACGGAAAAGACACATCATTTGTGGTGCGCACACAAGGTTTTTCTGTAGAAATTTGATTGTCAATCGTACTCTGAACTGGTATTTTGTTTCATTCATCCTTTCTGCCTAATGGATCTAATTTGTACAAAAGGTGGATTGTGATTTGGAGCAGGATCCTACTCCCACTCACTAGGGAAAGGCACAAACTGAAGGTGAGCTTTTGTCCCGAAAGCTTATAGAATTGGGCATGAGGAATCCGAATCTGAAATGAATTTCAGATTTTGATTTCAGATTCAGATTCCTCATACCCGATTCTATAAGGTTTCGCGACAAAAGCTCACCTTGAGTTCGTGCCTTTCCCTAGTCAGTTTTCAAGGAGAAAATTCGATGACTGCAATGGGATCATTCTCGAAGCAAACGTTTGCTGAAAAGCACATTCAAGCATTGATTCACTAAAAAACCACTTCAGAAAGCTTGGATTGAACTGGACCCTGCGTATCTTCTGGCTACGATCGACAGCTTCTCAAAAGCTTCGCCGCAGCCGCCTATGGAGATATTTTCAAGCAGAAATAAACCAAATTGTTGAAAACAATCTAGAGAATAAATTTGTTAATGTTAATTTTTGTTTTTTCGATGAAAAGGTTTTTATTGGTTCGGGTAATTTTGGGGCGCATCCTTTAGTCTTTTTGATAACGCTTTTATACATTTCAGACTTTGTTGTATGCATGTTGTATGAAAAGTTTGTTGTAAATAGCATAGATACAGGTAGTGGCTATAACAGGAAAGTACCAAAACTTTATTTTATTTTGATCGCAACAAGCATCTTCTCTTTTTCAACATCATGCATCACAAGCTTTCTTACAATTTTACCAAGCTTTTTACAAAGGAAGCGAGCGTATTTTGGATTTTCTTTGGTCACCCAATACCCTCCTTCTGGTGGCCAACACGATTTGTCGTTCTCGATCTAAATTTGAAAATTTAGATCGATTCAAATTCAATGATTTTTCGAATTGTTGGCTAGCTGTAAAATCTTTACCAAGTATTTCTATTTTTAGAGGATTTAACCCCCCAAAAAAAACATTGTCAAAGTCAAAATCGAACCACTGAAGTCAAACATTGTTTTTTTGTCTAAAAACACCCTTATTGGAACTTCCCCGTCAATAGTTTCCAGGCTTACATCGCACAAAAAGATATCACAAAACGACTTTCATCATTCATTCCCTAAAACGTACCGCCCAGACTTTAGGGGTTTTGTCCGGCTCATCATTGAAATAATCAAATGGAGATCCATCTGTCCAGGTTCCCACGCCGATCCCACCCAATCCAAAGTAACCAGTGAAGACTGGCTGAGCATCACACGGATTTGAGGGCTGGGGCCCGCACTGATCCGAATCCTTTACAGCCCATTCTTCGTTCTTGACCGCAGAAGCAATTAATTCTAAAAAGTTTTTATAAAAAAGGCATATCCTGGAAAGCCCAATAATACTTTGGCTCTAGTACAAAAAAACTTTTAGAAAGAATAAATTAAAGAAAAGTATCTTCTCTAATTTTTGATATTTCCATTTTGTGTTGCATGTTACGTCACCTTGAACATCGAAATTTCAAGAAAAAAACGCTTTGTATTAAAAATTTAGTGTTTAAGAATTTTTCTCATACCGCGGATAAACGTTTCCTCCCAACAAGAATGGATGGAGACTAGATGGGCACCCATTTGCCGACATTTTGCTTCAGCTGTTGCAAAGTCATAGAGTTCCCAGAAACCCTCGTTGGTGACAGTGAAATTCTGAAGTGTGCGTTAGGCAAGCCGTGCTTTTTAAGCAACCATTCTTTTGTGTTTTGGTGTTCTCTTCTAATAAGTAAGGATTTTGTCCAACCTGCAAATAGTAGCAATGCTCGGTGGCCGGCGAAAACTTCCATCCATTTGGGCAGAATTCACTCTTGAATTAAACAAAGTGTGACATTTTTAGTCTTTTATGTTTGCACGTTTATTTTTACGAAAAGAAACATTATAAGTAAGATCTGCTAAGGCAATATTTAGACAAAAATCTACAGGATGGCCGCACACTATCGCGTCGCAGTTTTTGGGCTATCTCTTGGCTGTAGCTGTTGCGAATCGGTTTAACTTCTTTTTAATATGAAAATGGCAATAATTTTCTACAGAGAATTTCTTTATACAAATTGTAGGATGCTTTTGAGAATTTTATTAAAGGCTTGGAAGATGCGCCCAAAATAACCCTTGGCACGCAACATTATTCAAGCTTTTTCTAGTTCATTTTCAAACTGAAAGCGGTTTTCTCGCTTTTTTGAGAAATTTAAGCTTTAACACATTCGCAACGAAGGTATTTTTCGCTTAACCGGGCTAGCGTGCTACTATCACACCACAATTGGAAATCCTGCTGCTCAGCTGATTTCCTCTGCCGCTCGGCTAGGGGTATGAAGACCGTTACTCATAAGTGCCCTCGTGGGCCTTCGAAAGATCCAACCTGTGCGACGACGATGTAAGTTTGAAACACAAGGAATAGAATTTGTAGAAAGAACAATCGATAAATGGATTCCATTTTTCGGAAACCCAAAAATGACTTGTTAATGACAAATCGGTTTTACTATCTTTATCAGATAGTAAAACCGATTTGTCTTTATCAGCCGATGAGTAAGCAACGTAAAAACTCAGCTTCTTCGCGAAAAGATTTAGAGCCCCTTTCGAAATCGGTTTTTTGTCTGGAGTCTAATTAACTTTAACTGTTTGAATTTTTCAAACCGTTTTTATCGGCTACCGTAGTTTTATATAATATATTTTATTCAGAAAACTTTACAGAAATTTTATGAAACTTTTATAGGAATTGGTTCTAAATGAAAATTTAATGCTAAAATTTGCAGTCATTCCAAGTTGAAACTTTCAAGGTTTAATAGAAGATTTTGTTCTTTTTTGTTCTTCTGTTCTTCTGTTCTTTTGTTCTTCTTTTTCTTGTTGTTCTTGTTCTTCTTGTTTCGGGTTCTTTTCTATACGCTTCACTCACAGAGCCACACCTGGCTAATCTCTCTCCAGGAACATCAACTCTCTTGATGTTGGTCAGTTTTTAGGACCGCACAAAACGGTTTCCATCAATTATCGGTTTTTTTTTAAAATTTATATTTTAGGTTTTTCCCTTCACTCTAGCTACGTTTTATTGGCTGGTTCTGGATCATCCATCAAGTTTAATGAAAAAGTGCTTGATGGGTCGTCACGATCCAACTGAGGATTGTCAAGAGTACACAGCAAGGCGAGCAGTAAAATCGAAGAGTCTCATTAAGAAAATTGGCGCCATAAAGGTTTGATTGTTTTAGCTTAAAAATCACATTTTTCTAGCCCTATCTTCGAATCCTTCTCGTTGTTTAATTGGCCGAATATACAACCAATCAGGGATTTGTGGGTTACTTTTATATCTCTAACGATCTCTATCGTTTCACAGATCCAATTCATTGTGTTTGACTGTGCAACCAGGTTCGGGCTGGCCAAAATTAGTCGATATCGATGATTTCAAGTGAAAGCAATAATACAGGGTGACAAAAATAAGCTGGTATTTTGTTTCATTCATCGTTTCTGCCTAATGGATCTAATTTGTACAAAAGGTGGATTGTGATTTAGAGCAGGATCTTACTCCCACTCACTAGGGAAAGGCACAAACTGAAGGTGAGCTTTTGTCTGGACACTTTATAGAATCGGATATGAGGAATCTGAATCTGAAAGCAAAATCTGAAATTCATTTCAAATTCGGATTTCGCGATTCTATAAGGTTTCCAGACAAAAGCTCACAAAAGTTTAATAAATTTGCTCAATTTGCATTAAAAGTTGGTTAATTGGCATTTATCGGATTATGGTCGGATTAGGACGTCCGAAACCGACCACAAGATAATCAGTGGCCGGATTCGGACGTCCGAATCTGATCCGAACGTCCGAAACCGGCCACTGACTATCTTGTGGTCGGTTTCGGACGTCCTAATCCGACCATAATCCGATAAATGCCAATTAACCAACTTTTAATGCAAATTGAGCAAATTTATTAAACATAATTATTGAAGGGGTATTCCTCTCATAGACGAACCTCTTATAAGTCACTTCCACAATTGTTGCGCCTTGGTTAGCCTTTATCAAAAACCAGTTTTTTAAAAAGACTGATTGACATAAACCCATTTTTATCCGCAATACAAACATTAACAACATTAATAAAATTAGTTAGCCACTGTCTGAATTTCCAGATACAACAAACAAACTAAATGAAAAACAAAGTCAAACAACAATCAACTTAAACAAAAGCTCTTTTTACTACGCACATAATGCATGTTACTAAAAGTGTCATTCTGAAGACCCATGACCTAAAAAGAAAAAAACATTAAAGCTTAATTGCAAACATCAGCTACTACATGTCTACCAAGAAGATGAGCAACAATTTTAAAAAAAACGGTCAACTTTTGACAAACGCGGTGGTTCAGGGTGGAATGAACATTTTTTTGGCAAACATGGGCGAAGACACGCAATATTTTAAAAAAGTTATTGGAAACTCACAAACTATATTACTTAAATTTCTTAGCTTAAATTTTGCGTGGGTGAAACTATCATAGCTGAAAAATTATAAGAATTCGATGAATCAAGCAGGATCAATTGACATTTATCGGATTATGGTCGGATTAGGACGTCCGAAACCGACCACAAGATAATCAATGGCCGGATTCGGACGTCCGAATCCGATCACACTCATTCTGGTCACATTCGGACGTAACATATACAAAAATAGGAATAAATCACGTTTCTAACGTTATTTGAATAAATTGCAACTAAATTATGAAGATTTATTTATTCAACACTTGTTGCAAAATGATAGGACCGCCACGTTTCTTTTTCATTTTCTAACTGTAATAACCATTTTTTTGCTTGTTCTATTTTTTTCAAACTAATTTTTATTTTTTAGGAAGATGCGGCGTGGAAAATCGCTTGTGCTCACCAATAAATCATGGCAATGCAGTACACGCAAATGCCAAACATACTGCACGCGATCATCATGAGCTTGATGGATAAAGTTAATAAATTTAGGTACAGGAGCACCACAAAACCTACCAAACAAAACTGCGTTCCAGGAGAACCAAAATTTGACCGCTTCAGATTCCTCCTTCTCGGGGACAGGTCCACCACCGAGTGTTTCATTTTCCTCAATTGTAGAGAAAGCACCTAAAAAATTCAGATGATTATAATAGCTAAACCTTTACAAGTACTACCTAACAGCTAAACCTTACATGACGCAAAAATTACTCAGTTGTCAAATAGGTGAAGTTAACGGTGAAGGACCGTTACCGATCCGTTTGGGGCCAATACCGTTCAATTGATAATTGCCAACTCCAATTGGAGTCGTGCTGGTGAAATCACCGCGGCTCGACTCCGGTCTTTCTTCGCCAGGTTATTGGCATACCCTTCCCAATTGGTAGATGATAGACAGACAACGTGGTATGGTCGTGGATGAGGCTGCGGCTGTGAAAGACGGCCGAAATAGACAGCCGCCGGCGAACACGAGAGAGCATCAGCTCTGGAAGAGACACGAGACGACACCATTGTGTGTACCTTTCGTGTGTCTTGTAGGAAAAACCGGCATCTGGCACACGGCTCGTCCACATACGGCAAACAGGAGCCCACTCTCTGGTTTAATACCAAAACATACCAAAACAAACTGAAATTTACTTATTCTTGCAGGTGTTGCTCTTGTGGCATCGGCTGTTGCATTGCAGGTTGGCTTTCCAGCAGGCGCATCGCCCGTTCACACATCCATTCGTGCAGTTGCAATGCTTGTGACCTGAAAGAAACTTAAAACAGGACTATTTAAAAGTTTACCTTGAGTCCCAGTCAGCGATTGTGATCCTACTGCGGCTCGAAAAGTTGATTCAACTTGTGGCACTTCTTTGAACGAAAGGAAGTTATTATTGGCGGGCTCAAATTGATTCCTTGTCAGTCTAATCTTTGAAAAATTAATTAGAAAGCAAGGATAACGCTCACTTTTGCTGTAGAATACCGTTGGTGGTGCCGATTTGATAGAATCCCTGGTTTTCTTCCATGACGACACCGAAGAGCGTTGAATGGTCGATTTTCGGACGATCCACTGCATCGATTGGCAAACGAACAGTTTGTCCGACCTCAACAGCACCAAATCTAAACACTAGCTTAAAAATTAATAAACCCAAAACTAAAATAAGTATCGAACCAACCTGTTTTTAGATTTTTCGAGCATATTTTCGGCCTGTTTCTGTTGTTGAAGAGCCGCTCCATTGCGATGATGCCAAATTTCTTTGTCGCGTTGAACAAAATCTAAAATAATTAAAAGTTAATTAAGAAATAAAAACTTTTAAAATACCTCCTTCTTTTTCTTTTGCAATAGCAATAGCATCTTCTTCGTCATCTGTCTCCGGAAAAAATGTTGGATTGTCTGTGATTGCGCCCCGAATCGATTCACTCCAATCGATGATTTCCACATCTTCTTGATCAGGAACCTAAGCCCTAATTAAAAAAGAAGAAATAGAAAACGTACATCTTGTTCGTTGTCGTCGATGCTTCGCTCGGCATTCGATAGTGCAATTGTATCAAGAAACCCAAGTTGCATTTTTCGACCAAACTAAACAACAAAAATAAACAATAATACCAAAAAGCCAACCATTGCTTCGTAAGGTGATCGCCCAATGCCCCGGTGATAACGTTGATTGGACAATCGGAAGAATTCGAGCCCATCTTGTTGATTGTTGCTCCCTCAATTGCGTACATAGAATTTTCTGAAACAAAAATATCAAAAAATTAGTGTTATTAAAAGTTTACCTCAACGTCCTGATTTGCCCTTTCCACAGACCCTTGACTCTGCGAGTGTCGAGGACGACCATGCATTATTCGACAGCTTGGCCACCGGTTCACGAGTTCTTTGACCTAAAGCAAACAAAATAAAGCGTCATAAAGAAATTCGATAGGGCACAAAAGGAAAAGCTTACCAATCTGTTGGCGAACTCCTTTCCGTTGTCGGACTGAAGTATTTTTGGAGCTCCAAACGTCCCGAATATTTCCATTAGATTATCGACAACTTCAAATTGTGTTTTCCTTTGCAATGCCCGCAAAATGACGAACTTTGTAAAATGACCCTGGTAGACCATCAAAAAATTGAATTCTCCATCGGAAACGGATTGAAGATCGATTGAATCCACCTGGCATCTCTCGTTGAAATCCTTTGTAACAATTGGCTTCACGACTATTCCTTTCTTTGGTGTTCCTTTTTTGAGCTCGCATTCTGGGCACAACTTCACAAAAATTTCTATTACTTCTTTTGAGATCCCATGATAGTCTCGTAGTCCTTGCCACATTATATCTCGTCCGGCGTGCCCAAGTCGTTGGTGAGTGGTCGTTAACAGACCAAAGAGCTCCTCTGTCTTAACGACTTTCTTCGGTTTGTCCAAATCGCCTTTGACTCCATGATTGTAAAGCACCTCTTGATTCAATTTGTATCGAAGAGAGAATCGCACCACAAGTTTTTGTGTTTTTTTCGATGGCTTGAAGTCTTCATTTTGCAATTGTTGGAGAATGGTGACGATTTCCGCGTATTTCTCGCTTGAAAGAATCAAACTTCGCACTCTTTAGAATGCGTTTTTAGCTTTTAAGCGCCTTTTAGAGAGCTTCAGTTTGTGGTACTGACTTGAGTCAATACATAACTCAAGATTTCATTTTTGAGACTTAATCGGCTAGCCGAAGAAGTCTGAGACTTAATCGGCTAGCCGAAGAAGTCTGAGACTTAATCGGCTAGCCGAAGAAGTCTGAGACTTAATCGGCTAGCCGAAGAAGTCTCAGACTTCTTCGGCTGAAATCCTTCATCGGCTACGACATATAGAAGCTACTATATTTAAAAGAGAAGTGTCGATCCTTCCGTCTTTCCGGCACACTCTGGATCTCGGCTTCCCGTAAACCGATTTCGACAAACTTAGGCGGGTTAGGTTAGGCGGGTTTCCCGGCTCGTATGTAAATATATGTGGTAGCCGTTTACGAATGAGGATATTTCCGGGCATCCAATCAAAAATTCCAAAGGGTATGTTGTAAGTGTAAATTCAAAAACCGTTTAAGCCAATATGTTTGTAAAAACTTGTTAACCAAAATAAACACAAAATTCAAATTTCCATTGACCAAAAATTTTCGAATGAGAACATGTGACTTTTTGAGAATACATGGCATATTTTTGAGGAGATTATTCCCAGAACAGACTCTTTTTTCCATCTTTAATTTTTATTATCAAACTTGATTTATTATCTTGTAAAATAGCCGTTTTAACTGGATGTTAGTCAAGTATTTTTGCTAAAAACATTGTCACGTTAAGTGGTAGTCAAATCGATCTTCAGCAGATCCATCCCATTTCTCAAAAATTCTGCATCAGATCGGGATCAAATTATAATCAACAAAACTTCACTTGTTATTAGAAAAACATTTGAGAAAAAGCTAATCGATCCAAAAAAAATATATATTTGAAGTATGGCTTCTGGTAGGCCCCTATACAACATGTTACCGCATTGCCCCGAGCGTGTTAAGCCCTATCAATACCTGAGGATCAAAGCTTTCGGAGTTCTTCCAAACCACATCGCTTGAAATATGAGTGGCCAAGAAACGTCGAGGGTTGCCAGTGAATTCCTAAGTTTACGATAGTGTTAAATCAAAGGAATTTCAATATTTTAGACAGTCGATTAGGCTAGTTCTATGTAGTTGTCGAGACATACTCAAGAAAAAGTTTACGAGGTCTTCAAAAATTAAGGACACTTTTTCTCTAGTGCGTAGCTAGAGTCAACCATTCCCCATAAACGTTTTTTTTGGTAGAATTTTGCTGTGCTGAGTTCAAAATTTGGTCAGGATTTTAAGAGAAAATTAGGCAGAAATCGACTTTTTAACCCAGACTTTTTCCATAGAGAAATGGAAAAACATGCGAAAAAGTAAAATGAAATGAAATGGTGAAGCGGGTTTTGTCTGCCTTATATTTGACTGTTCATGAGAGTGAGCCTGTGGCTGTGAGAGTTCATAATATTTTTTCTCTTCCCTTGCTTCCCTCCCCTCTATCCTTCCCCTTATCGATTGACCATCCCTCCCCTCTATCCTTCCCCCATCCGAGAATTTTAGGACATGCAAGAGGCCGGTAAAGAGCCCTTTGGTGGTGGAAACCCAGCGGAAGCTGAGGTTAATGCTGTCTTGCAGCAAGTAATTGTTTCTCAATCTAGAGGGTGTTCAAGAATTACGAGCACTTTTCTCTAGTGCGTAGCTCCGGCTAGAGTTAACCATTCCCCATAAATGTTTTTTGGTAGAATTTACTGCTTATTTTCAACACTTTACTCCGATACTTTACTCAGAAACTCAAAATTAGCAATTCTATTGAACTTGAAATCTCCAAAACTGAGCCTCTGGGATGCGGCTCCTTGTGACCAAATTTTGAACTTAAAGAATTATTTTAATAATGACTACCCAATTATGAATGAAACACTTGTAAATACCTAAATTATAAATTTAGAAAACCTAAGCTGTTTGTTACTTTTTTGAATAGTAATGATTTATGTTTAAAAATTTGGTCACAAGAATCTCAGAGGCTTTCGAGTTTTGGAGATTTCAAGTTCTATAGAACTGCTAATTTTGAGTTTCTGAGTAAAGTATCGGAGTAAAGTGTTGAAAATAAGCAGCAAAATTCTACGAAAAACTTTTATGGGGAATGGTTAGCAAGGAGTTTAGAACGATGAAGCTAGACCTATTTTCCACTAAAATGATGAAGCTAACTTATCAATATACTATACAATATCTTCAATTCTGCTATAAATAAACCCAAAAGAAAAAGTGTGGTAATTTTTGAAGACCCCGTAAACTTTTTCTTGAGTATGTCTCGGCGACTACATAGAACTAGCCTAATCGACTGTCTAAAATATTAAAATTCCTTTGATTTAACACTATCGTAAACTTAGGAATTCAATGGCGACCCTCAACGTTTCTTGGCCACTTATCTTCCAAGCGATGTCGTTTTTCTGCAAGTAAGCTTTGGAAGAACTCCGAAAGCTTTGATCCTCAGGTATTGATAGGGCTTAACACGATCGGGGCAATGCGGTAACATGTTATATGGAGGCCTACCAGAAGCCATACGTCAAATATATATATTTTTTGAATCGATTAGCTTTTTCTCAAATATTTTTCTAATAACAATTGAAGTTTTGTTGATTATACGCCAAAATTTGATCCCGATCTCAATCTATTTACATTGACTTTTTTCTTTTTCATTCTTTTCTCTTCGCTCTCTTCCCTCCCCTCTATCCTTCCCCTTGCTCAAGAATTCTTCTCTTTTAGAGAAAAAAGGAAGGGGAAGCATAGAGGGGAGGGAAGAGAGCGAAGAGAAAGGAATGAAAAAGAAAAAAGTCAATGTAAATAGATTGAGATCGGGATCAAATTTTGGCGTTTGATTATTTTGGTTAACAAGTTTTTACAAACATATTGGCTTAAACGGTTTTTGAATTTACACTTAGAACATGCCCTTTGGAATTTTTGATTAGATGCCCGGAAATATCCTCATTCGTAAACGGCTACCACATATATTTACATACAGGCCGGGAAACCCGCCTAACCTAACCCGCCTAAGTTTTTCGAAATCGGTTTACGGGGAGCCGAGATCCAGAGTGTGCCGGAAAAACGGAAGGATCGACACTTCTCTTTTAAATATAGTAGCTTCTATATACATATACTCTTTTACAAGTTTTACTTAAGCAATGCAGATATTTTGATCATTTTCTTGTAAACGGTGTCCAATTCAGGATCACATTCCGGAACCAGACGTGAATATCGATATTCCACCGGCAGAAATGGAAAGTGAGTTTTTACCCGGCCAATGTTTCAACGAATAAACTTATAGATTTTTGTATTTTTTGAATCCAAAAATAAAATGAAAAGGGGAAAAACTAAATCTATTTAGGTGACCCAGTCCAGCCTGTGGATCCTGTTGATGTTCCGGATGCAAGCTCCAATGTCGAGGCAATCGTTCCCGAAAACCTCGAAAATAAGATTTAGAAGGATCACAGCTCGCTTTCCCCATTTTCATTGAGTTATTTTTGATTTGGCACTCATAAATTCTCACATTCCTGATGATTTCCTTATCCCATAAATGTATCTTCTCTGTTTACTTTTGAATGATCGGCCAAACCAAGAGGCAATCCTTTTTCCATAAATGAACAGGGTAAATGGTTTTACTTTTTGAATTTCCAACTTTAGTTTCTTCATTCTCGGAGTTTTACAGTATTTGTTGGGTGTAGGATTTTGGGTGTACTGAAAACGGAAAGAGATAGGAGAGATCTAGAAAATGTGAAGAGACGCAGACAGGGGAAGGTGTTTCGATATTTATGCGGGTTTTCCAAGGAAAATTGAACTAGAGCTTGAAAAAAAATTGAACTAGAGCTTGCTAATCTTGAGTTTCTGAGCAAATTTTTGAAGTAAAATGTTGAAAATAAGCAGCAAAATTCTACCAAAAAACTTTTATGGGGTATGGTTAACTCTAGCTGTGCACTAGAGAAAAAGTGCCCGTAATTTTTGAAGACCTCGTAAACTTTTTCTTGAGTACATTCAAATAGCCTAATCGACTGTCTAAAATATTAAAATTCCTTTGATTTAACACTATGGTAAACTTAGGAATTCACTGGCAACCCTCAACGTTTCTTGGCCACTTATCTTCCAAGCGATGGTTTGAAAGAACTCCGAAAGCTTTGATCCTCAGGTATTGATAGGGCTTAAGACGCTCGGGGCAATGCGGTAACATGTCATATGGAGGCCTACCATACTTCAAATATATAAATTTTTTCGATTTTTTGGAATTAGGCAGAAATCGACTTTTTGACCCATCCTCTCCCATTTCTCCAAAACAAAAAATTAGAGAGAAGGTTATGGTTTAGTTTTTTTCAAAAGTTCGTCCGGAGGGGCCACCATTTCAGACATTTCAGACTCCCCAACCCAATACATACACTTTGCTATAAGTTTTACTTAAGCAATGCAGATATTTTGATCATTTTCTTGTAATCAAATGTATTCACCACAAGCATTAATAACTTCTTTCCAACGTTGCCCCAAATCACGAATACCGTCCTCGTAAAATTGAAGATTTTTAGAGGCAAAATAGTTGGCAACCCGATTTTCGATGTCCTGCTTTTGCTTGAACTGCTTTCCAGAGACCACTTGTTTCATAGACCGAAAGAGGTGGTAATCCGATGGGGCTAGGTCAGGGCTATATGGTGGGTGAGAAAGAAGTTTCCATCCCAACTTATCGATCTGTTCGTGGGCGACCTTTTAAATGTGCGGCCGGAAATCTGACCTTTGATGGATCGATCCGCTTTTTCCTCAGTGCTCGATCGACTCGACCCAGTTGTTCTGCATAAAGTCTTCCATCAACAGTCTCGCCCTTATCTAATGCTTCAAAATAAACCATTCCCTCTTATTCCACCACACACAGAGCATAACTTTCTTCCCGTGTATCGGAGGGTTCGGGATTGGATGAGGGGTCTGCTTCGAACTCAGCCACTGTCCATGGAGTTGAATGTTTTCATACGGAAGCCAAGTCTCATCAGATGTCAAAAAATACTTCCAAAAGACACGATGGTGCGCTTTGCGTAGAAGAAAAGAGCTCAGGGTGACTCGTATGGCTTTGTGGGCATCAGTGAGGTCGTGGGGGAGCCATTTCCCGCTTCGACATGATTTCCCAAGAACGTGTAAATGGTAACATGAGTGCATCCGAATTTTTCTGCTAATTTTCTACACTTTTGCGATGGATCCAAGTCGACCTCGTTCAGTAACAGCTAATCGTCCAAAGTAATCGGCGGCTTTAGTTAAAAGTAAACATTTGTAATGTAAAAAATATATGGCTCATGTCATTTGGTCACCACACCCGGTTGACATTCCCCTGCTAGTATTAGGTTGTGCAGAAAGTCTTTGCCGATTTTTTGGGAGAGGATCTTAAACTTGTCCGATCTGGACGTGTAATAGCTCACTCAAAAGCTAATCTTCTAGCGGATGGGATAAAAGAAGAAGAAAGCTGGGTTGTAGCCATGTTTTTTGGAATCAGTGTTAAAATTACCCTAGAAAACGCAAAACTCGTTCTTTTAATAAAATTTTTTCAAAAACCTGCCGCGTGCCGGAGTCGAACCCTCGACCCTCAGATCACCGTTTTCAGAGCTCTAAAAAAGGAAAATTCAACAAACATTGCAAGGAGACAAAATTTTTGTGGTAACTTTTCTGTAAAGCTTTGTCATTTTATTTTCTAGCAAAATTCTTTCATAAATCCCTTATTCGATAAATTCCATGAAATCCTCATAGCGATATGGGGAAGTAAAATTTGTCCACAAAATATCAGAGACAATTGGATTCGATTTATGAATTTTGGAAAACAGCTTAAACGAGTTTTCTGACGAAGATTGGGTTCGATTCACGAAGAGCTTGGCGATGAACTCATTTCCCACACACACAAAATCTCAAAAAAAATTTTTTTCCGCAATCAAAAAATTTTTTTGTAATTTTTCAGCAACCTTCCGTGGCTTAAAAATATTTTGATGTATCTAGCTTTGAAATGAAAAAAAGAAGACGAGAATCAGTTAAGTAGCTCTCGAGAAACCTAATACCGAACTTGACTAGTCAGAGAAACGGCGGTTAATTATGCATCAACCCAATAATTGTAAATTATGGATTAGGTTGAAAAGCTTTTCCCAAAAAATCTTTCTAACCTTACTTCTTTTTTCTAACCTTTCTAAGAAGCGCTTAAGTTACCGTAATCTTGTACCATTTTTAAAAACAGTACCGTAGCTTTTTCCTGAACGCATCTTTTAGAAAACGGTGCAATCAAGAAGAACAAAGTCTAATAGAAAATTCGATTGGTTTAGAAAATATGCAATCAACAACAAGAATGCTAAAAAGTTCCAGAATTGTGTGTTCAGAAACGGATTGATGAACCGGAATGAAAATCTAAACAAAATAAAGATTAAAGCCTCGATTTTCTAAATCCTATTTAACACCTAAATATCTGGTAATCGATAAATTTTATATTCGAAATTGCGTAGATTTCTTCGCGAAACGTTCTTCCACAAAAATTTCCTTCAAATTTGAGATGCGATTTAGAAGACTCGACAAAATGCATAGCGCCAATCGAGCAGTTTTGTAGAGACAAATTTAATCGCGTCGTAATCGCCCTCCATCTGGCACATGCCCCCGATAGATAGGTGTTTCCTTTCGGAACCTGAAAGGAGCGGTGAGCGACGGAACCGGCTTCGCCTCTCCTCGGCATCACTATGCCCAAATTTTTGGGATCAATTTTTGCCCCAAATCTGGCTGGATTCCTCTATAAATTCTAGTCAAATCTAACCGCACCTGGCCGGTGAAAAATTTCCCGTTTGTCCCTGAACCGTTCTTTTTTCAAAGCCCCTCCTTGTTTTTGATTGCTTATGTGTCTTTCTCATTGTTTATAAAAAAACAGAGCACCGGAAAATTCAAACAATACAGTTTAACACAAATTTAAAGAAAAAGTTCTTTTTAAGTAATTGAATTTTTTTTTGCACAGCTTGAATAATTCGTTCGTTCAACTCTAGAAAGCCATCTTGCATACTAGCTTCTCGTCGGCATGCCAAGTGACTGTTCGCTTCCAAAACGATTTTGCCTCTCCGCGCAATTCAACGGCTTTTGCCAGATCGCGAATGAACAGACCAGCCTCCATCATGTAGCGATCGGCGAACCGCGGGAATTTCTCGCGTAACGCTTCGAACACGCCTACCTAAAATTTTTTTTTGGTACTCTCTTCCACGTTGATCAGTTGTGGTCTATAGACTTTTCTTTGCAGAGTTAGCACAAAAGAACTTTAAGTCTAAGTAGAAAAAGTTTATCAAAAAAGTTTTTGGAAATCAAAAACAAATATCGGCTGTAAAAATTACTGTTTTCTATAGAGATCATTATTACAGCTGTAAAGAATTGGGTGCTCGGTAGATCAAAGCTATTGGGTTGGTGAATCGAAAACTGCCGGACTTTGAACTAAAATTTATTGAACATAAAACCATGAATTCATTCGAAATAATTTCCATTATTATTGACGACTTCTGCCCATTTTACAGGCAATTTGCGGATTCCTCTTTCGTAGTAGGATTTTGGTTTGTGTGTGAGACAAGTGTGAGACTCAAAAATGGAGGACTGGAGCTGTCCCAGTTTGAGCACTTTCTTCAAAAGAAACCCATTTTGGTGTCAATAGAAAAGTTGTAGAGAATCAAAAATTAGGCTTATAGCCAAATTTCTAAAAAGATACACTTAGTAGTTTCGCTTAAAATGCAAGTTTTGTGAAAATTCGTAAATTTGGCATTTCTTGAAAACCAGTTTTTGAATCGTTCTGAAAATTTGGATATAAGCTTAATTTTTGATTCTCTACAACTTTTCTATTGACACCAAAATGGGTTTCTTTTGAAGAAAGTGCTCAAACTGTGACATATGACAATAGCCCGCAGTTTTCAATTCACCAACCCAATATATGATCCAGTGTGAATGCTTAAAGTATATAATAATTAAAACAAGAAATAATAGCAGGATCTTATAAGATAAGCCCATAACATTTTTTTTTTGCTAACCCACCGGGTTTCGACGCTTCAGCGACGCCTTGTGCTCGGACCTTTCCACCGCATAGAAGCACTCCTCGTGCAGCTCGACGATCAGCTTTTTGCTGAGACTCGAGCTGTTCGATAGGGTGACCGCGTATTTGATGACACTGAGCGTGCCCCTCTTCACAACAATGTCCAGTCGATCCAGCCGTTCGCCGACATCTTGCAACACGTAGATGACGGCGTCGAAAAAGTCGCTGAGCACAGTGTCGACTGAGCGGATAGTTGTAGGAGACCATGTGCGCGAGGAGTTGCGGAGTCAACGAGTGAAACGCCACTCTCAACAGAACTCGATGCAAGTCCGTCGACAAGATTTGTACGGTGCGTTCACCGCTCAACACCTATTAAAGAAAATATATGGTTTGAATGGCTTACAATTTTTCTTTCCTAAATAACTATTAAGTACCTATAGTCGAAGTCTGATTTGGCGGTCCAGCTACTTCTCATACAACTACTTTTAATTCTTAACATTAAACAATAGCCATTAAAATCTAAAACATCAAGTCTTTGCCACATTGATGACATTCGTCGATTTGGCATTGGTCGATTCTAATTTAACTGCAGCTACGACAGGCACGAGACATAAAAGCGAGCCAATTTGTATCCTCACAGGGTAAAAAAATCAAAGTTGAAACAAGCATCGTTTGAAGTATCGAATGAAACTCGCCCATTTCACGAATGTCATCAATGTGGTGAAGCCTTGATGTTTTAGATTTAAATGATTGTGGTTTAATGCTAATAATTAAAAGTAGTTGTATGAGAAGTAGTTTGAAAAAGACTTGTATTTGAAATGGAGATCAATTACCTCTAAAAAAGCAAAAGAAATTAAACTGCGGCCCCGAATCCAGAAGGGTTTGCCTTGGATTCTATCCAACTACCACTGGGCCAGCACTGCTCTGTAAAGTCTCTGAGAAATCTGCTTGTAAACTCGAGAGATGATTTTTAAAATTCCATGCAAAACTTTGAGCGCTTTTGACTTTTGATAGAGTGCCATTTTGCAAAAACGGAAAACAGATGCGGAATCAGCGTGAAATTCGAATGCTATATGGCTCATGTCATCGACCCCACCAGGTTGTGCTCTCCACCGTGCTCTCCACCCCACCCATCGACCCCACCATCGACCCCACTTCCCTTATGAATCTAACCTGTTCACTGCTGTATTGCTTTGAGCGTGCCTTCATCATAGCAGAATCCAATTGAAGGGCGCCTAAATAAGAAAGTTTAAGTTCAGAAGATCAAACTATTATTTACTACTTTTTTAAACATTCTTGAAGTCACCTTTACTAAGCGTGCTCTCCTCAAACAAAGTGGAAAGTCGTTGAGCCGATGGTTGAATCGTAGCCGATTTGTCCTCATTCACAATTGTTCGTATCAGCTTTTTCAGAGCAACTTCGAGCGCTTTGGAAAGGCGCCCGTGTTCAAAGCTTTGGGTTGTTCGAAATGTGGAAAAATTTAATGTTGTCTTCAACTTGGAACTTTTTGCAAATTTCAATTTCGCATTCACATCGGCAAGAGCTAGACTTGTAAAGGCGAAGATGGCAGCCGGCGGGTTAGAAGGCTGGAAAAATTTCCGTTTAGAACAAAAAATTGATTATATTGGGTTGGTGAATTGAAAACTGCGGGACTTTGAACTAAAATTTATTGAACATAAAACCATGAATTCATTCGAAATAATTGCCAATATTATTGACGACTTCTGCCCATTTTACAGGCAATTTGCGGATTCCTCTTTCGTAGTAGGATTTTGGTTTGTGTGTGAGACAAGTGTGAGACTCAAAAATGGAGGACTGGAGCTGTCCCAGTTTGAGCACTTTCTTCAAAAGAAACCCATTTTGGTGTCAATAGAAAAGTTGTAGAGAATCAAAAATTAGGCTTATAGCCAAATTTCTAAAAAGATACACTTAGTAGTTTCGCTTAAAATGCAAGTTTTGTGAAAATTCGTAAATTTGGCATTTCTTGAAAACCAGTTTTTGAATCGTTGTGAAAATTTGGATATAAGCTTAATTTTTGATTCTCTACAACTTTTCCATTGACACCAAAATGGGTTTCTTTTGAAGAAAGTGCTCAAACTGTCACATATGACAATAGCGGGCAGTTTTCAATTCACCAACCCAATCAATTAATTTTTAGGATCATTAAACTTTTCTGGGGCTACAAAAAGAAGCATCATTTTTTTTCTTTGCTTTCCCAGCTAACCCACCAAAAACTGCTTGATGTGTTTGCGTAGCTTTTGTTTCACTTTCGTGTCACTTGACTGGCCAACACCATTCGTAATTGTGTCATAGCACTCCTGAAATTTGCATCAGCTTTTTTGGTTTTGCCAGATTACCCGATAAAATTAGGTCTACATCTTATGCCCTTAACTAAGATTTAAACTGTAAAGAAATATTCTTTGCGTGCTTGGTACTCTTCACTCAAGACACGTTATTTCTTGTTTCGAGATATCTGATCTCACTTGGACTTGAACTAAGACACTTTATTCAATAGCCGACTGACTCGAAATTTTTGGGCTCTCACTTGAGCAATTTTCACACAAAATCGACAATTGAATTTAAAGCGACGATAAAAAAAAACAGAAACAATTTTGTCCAAATTAGGACACAACTTTCAAACGATGAAAGAGAAGCAGAAAAAAGTAAAACACATCAAACGCACAACAGTTGCCTAATATACGCTTTAACACAAGATATTCAGCTAACAAGCTACAAAACAATAAATGATTTGGGGCGCGAAATAGAATGAAGGCGCACGGATTTCCGCAATACTTTTCCAATTTTTAGGCTGTCAGAGTTACCGTAAATACTGTAATTGGACCCCATGGGGTACTATTTTTTCCCTCCCCCTCTAGGGTGGGGTACTATTAGAGGGTGGGGCACTATTAGAGGGTGGGTTACTATTTTACACCACTATTCGAGTTACCAAATCAGGATACATCCAAATAATCTGTTCAAAAGCAAACTTTTTCTTTAGTTTTTATTGGTTTCAGCCATTTGAAAATTTAACAGCAAAACGAAACAAAAACAACTAACAAGCAAAATCAATAGTCAGTTATCACTCAATGAATTCATCATTTTCTTGATCATCAATTCCTCGATGTCCTTGAAATCCCGTTGATGCGAGCGGCTCCAAGAGGTCCTCAATTTCTGTCTCTGTCCGTGCATTTCTCATCGCCTGTACAATAGATTAAAGATAAGTCCACCGAAAGAGCGTTACAAGTATTCCGCCGTGACCTCATTATCGAAGCACTTGCGTTTCTTCTCTTTCCAACAGAGCAATGACTTTGATTGGAGCTTTGTCTCGATTTTTTCGTTCATCGTTTTCCGATGCACCACGACAAAAGGACGCAACTTTTTCCCATCGGAACGAGCAGTGAGCATCACGGATATATTCATTTTGTCATAGCCGCGGGTGAGAACACCAACTTCTTTGGCTCCAACCGCTTCGATACACTTGCTCGTCGAAGCATCCAGCCAAACCGCCGTCTCATCGCAAGCAACAATGTGCTTGTAATTGCCTTCTTTGATTGTCTTGTTCAGCCTCAGAATGTGCGCGACGATGGCCTTCTCAAATTTGGTCGGCAGCTTTTGACAAGTTGGTGCCCTCAAAGAAAGTTGATGGCGACTCCATCCAGCCATGGGTTCTTTTGAAAGAAATTTCAGCTTTTTCGAATTGATTACCGTATTCTCTCTAATAGTAGTGCGCACTACTATTTTTTCAATCCCCTCCTGGACCGCAATACTATTAGAGAGTGCACTACTATTAAAGAGGTTTATCATTTACCAAAGTAAGACAGATATAAGATTTGTTCCAAAAATTCTTGCAATTCTTTCATGTACTCCTTTGGCTCTTTTTAACATACAGTTGTGGGCCGGCGAGTTGACAATTTGTGTCTTGACATGAAGAAATTTAGCCATCACTCTGATGCCGAAAATTCCTCCTCACCTTTCCACATTAACTTGGCTTGGCATTGAATCATTTTCCGTATCACTCGCATCTTCTTTGCCCGCATTTCTCGAATCCAAGCAACAAGATCCTTGTCAAAATCGACAGCCTTGAGCTTTCGTCCACCCCCTCTCTTGACTCCAAAAAATCTTGCAATTCTTTCATGCACTCCTTTGGCTCCTTTTAATATACAGTTATGGCCCGGCGAGTTGACAATTTGTGTCTTGACAAACAACAAAAAGATGTTTTTGCACTTTGCACAACAATTTTAGATTTTTTCGATTTTTTGCTAACTTTTTCCTGTGAAGAAAAGTTAATAAATGAATAAAAAAAAGCCTCACTTTAGCTTGCTTGAATAGCTTTAGAATGTCACATAAACATGAAGTCAAAAAGGTTTGGATGAAAAAGAAGCATCAGAAATTCAAATTTTCGAGGCTGCACTACTATTTTTTTAACCCCCTCTCGGACCGCAATACTATTAGAGAGTGCACTACTATTAAAGAGTGCACTACTATTAGAGAGAATACGGTAGCCGCTTCATTTCAGATAATCCGGCGTGTCACTCGTTTCTTCTCGGCTCGACGATCCCGTATCCATTCAGCCAAACCGATATCAATCCCCTCAACCGATATTAAAGTGGCTTCTAAGTGGTTCAAATCTTCTAAGTAGACCAATCTTTATGATTTTGGTGTTACTTTGTTGCACTTGTTGAGATCTACAATCATAAAGATTGGCCCACTTAGAAGAAAGTTATGGCGAGCTGCGCAAAAAATTTGGCGCAAAGTAGCTACCCCAAATTTAAAAACAACAAATTTATGGGATAAAATTAAAAATACAAACGATTTCTGAAAATACATGAAAATTTTCCGCTTTAAAAGAGTTGTTTGTAGTTACGCGTTAGGTGGGGGTGGGGTACTATTAGAGGGGTGGGGTCCAATTACAGTATTTACGGTAGGTAACTTTTTAGTGGCTACTCGCCACAATAAACCAAAAGTGTATCGATTGTTGTGTGTTCTAGATTTATTTTGTCATACATAAGTGTTTTAGCTCATAATTTTGTAAAAACTATACAAACCTTTTGGAATCCGCTTGTCGCCTTCATTATCCATCCATTTATGCCCTCTCGCAACACTGTGATGTGTTCCGAATCCATCGTGAAACACTTGGCGATTAGTTCTTTTGCCTGTTCGATCTCCTCGTCGCTCGTCGTCACAAAGGCGCCCGCCATCAGCGATTCCAAGCACTTCTCGGAAAACTCACAAAACACCTCGCCAATTGTCTAAATGAATTTTTTGCTATGAGTATTTGCTTTTTGATCTTTTAGAAGAACTAAATAAATATACTAAACTACCTCTAGAATGAGGTTCTCTCTTCGCTGAGTTCTTTCCCTGCTGATTGCCGTCTTATGACAGTCTTGTACAAGATGGAACTCCTCCTCTTTGCTCATGTTTGTTATGGTGGCTGCCTGAATTTAGAAAATTGAAAAAGATTCTGGAAAATTCTTTTTTTAAAGTCGAAGTCTTTTAAAGTTTTGGTATGACTTACTCGCTGTGTTGCGGTGAAGAGTGACATGAAGAAGAGTGTGGTGCCGACAGCGGCCACGATACCGATCGCGATAAGGACAACGATTGGAGATAAGAAGATTGCCGCCACTCCAATAACAACGGCTGCAATTGGCAGGAGAACAGCAAAAAGACGCGGATAGTAGCGCCACGGATTCGGCGTCTCAATGTTGGCCACAAGTCGCATCCCGTTGGCGACCACCCGATTCCTCTCCATGCCCACCGGAGCGCACTTTTCGTCGAGATAGGGGCCGATCGGGATCAATGTCGACTTGTTGATGAGAATTGTTGGCTGTTTTGGCTTTAACTTCCTATAGATGTTTCCCCAGAAGCCCTTCTCTTCACCATACACATCGTCGATCACCTTTGTCACCCGTTGCCGTTGGAGAATGCCTACTTTGAGGAGGTCGTCGAAAAGCTGCATGTGCGGTTGTTGAGGTAGAATGATACTGAGTTGAAATTTGTTGTCTTTTATGTCGCCGCCCTTGCATTCTTCGATGATTTTCTTCGTGCTTGCTTGGAGGTTTTGAAGCGCATAGCCGTAAGCAAGCTGCCTTGCAAGAAGTTGCTGCACAGTAGCCCGCATGCACTGTGGCAACATTTCACAGTTGATACGATTTTTCAGCCGATACACAAACTCTTTCGGCTTTATTGTTAGTTGATTTTCCTCGTCGTCTTTTTGTTTTGGTTCATCTTCTATACCGGAATCATCTGATTGTGAGACACCTTCTTTGTCGGTGAACTTCGCCTCTACTTGATAGAGAACCTCGTGTTTCTCCAGGATCCTTATGATCATCTCGGCTCCAGCTTTCGGTAAGTTCAGTTGTCGAGAAACTTCCGCTACGCTAACGTAATCATATTCATCTAGTCGAATCTCTTTGATAATCACCGGGTTCAACACCCCCGTGAGTTCGATAGATGCGTTGCCGGCGGTCAGGTGTTGCTCGAGGGCCACATTTTTAAGGGCATCTGCACCGAGAGCTTTTGCGACATCCTCCATTTTGTATAGGCTGCAATTGCTCAAGTCTTTAGAGGTCAACTGGATCATGAATGGGTTTATTGTAGGCTCGCTTTTTGAGATTCCCTTGAGTAGCTCTATCTCTTTACCCTTCTCCACCGCGAGATAGGCTGTCTCTTGTAAGAAACCACCAGCTCTCACTAGTGATTTCCAGAAACCGAGAGCATTTGGTGTGTCGAAAAGATCAAGCAACATGGCACTGTTGATGACTTTCACCTCTTGAACATTTTCAGGAAGCTTATCAGTCTCTCGAACATTACAAAAAACGAAATTGAGAAGTGTCGTTGACATGGCATGCGAGCGGGCAATCGCTTGTAATTGAGGAAGAGAGACGTCTTTAGATAGACACACCTGACTGATCACACCGCTGTACTCAAGAGCTCTCAGCACCTCGACACTACTTCTTTCCGCATCCACTCCTTCGCCGAGCACCTGTCGCACGTCCTCTCTCTTTACCGTATGCCCCAACATGTCGTCGATGTTTCCGATTATCGTTTCATACAGTGTTTTCGCTTCAGCACACTGAGCCGCGTAACCCGTTGAGAGCACCGATGTTGATGTGTTTTGTAGCATTGTGACAATATGTTGTAGCTCGGCTTTTCGTTGAATTTTCTCCATCAACATGCCGCGTGCGTGTTGTAGAAGTCGAAACGATTTGAGTAAAGCTTCTGTCGAGTTCTCGATGAGCCACTCCGGAGTGTCCCGAATTTCCTCAACGGCACACGAGGTCAAACCGACGGCCGTTGTGTCGAGACCGACTACCAGCTTGTCCCGGGCATACTGAATATAGTGTAATGGATTGTATTTGGTCATTTCTTCCCATGTCAACTCCTTTTTCTCCAAAAATTTCGTTTTTAGTCGCCGAATCTGCTGTTGTGCTAGTAGACCCAAATAGTAGATTGCCTCTGGAGCAAAGAACGGAAATTTGATGGCAATGTTTTTCAGTTGTTTCTCGGCTTCTTCGTGTCGCGCATCTTCACAAACATCATTCAAAGCTAACGTTAAGAGTGACTGTGGAGCATGAATCCATTGGGTCGCCTCTTCTATCGTACAGCTCCTACCCGGAAGCGGATGTGTGTCCAAAAACTTTTTTACCTTGTTAATAATGGCCTCTTTTTCGTTGCTACTCCGACTTTTCTCACAGTGTTTGATGTCTTCGGCACGCGCATCAACCCAATGCGCCCACTTGTCCAACATGGCGAAATAGATCACCTGGGCTTTTGTTGGCAACCAGCTCTCATCGTTTCCACTATAAACCTGCTCGAGAATACCGCTGCAGTGGCTACGGAACAAGTCCAGACATCTCTCTTCTACCGCTATGTGATAGTTATAGTAGTCGCTTAGCGATTTCAAGCGGTGCACCTCGGCGTTGTCGCGAAACTGTTTCAGCTGGAAGATGTTCGTTGTTGAATTTGTGTCTTCTTCAACGTGAGCAATGATCTGACCTGAACCCGGTTCTCCACATCGAGCCGCTCGTCCATACGCTTGATCTTCAATTCGGCTATTCTCAGGAAGAAACGAGACGATCACATGTAGGCCTCCCATTGCCACCAATTTTCGGCTCAGCTTTATGTCCGTTCCTCTGCCGGCCAAGTTTGTCGAAATGATAAGCCGTGAGCAGAGAAGGCCATTCGGAAACTCGAACTCATCAAATTCTCTCTTGTATACGGTAAGAGTTTTGATACAGTTGTTCATTTTTTCTTTGTCTCGAAGATTGACACTCTCTTCTTCTTGATAAGCGGCATTTAGAGCCACGAACTCTCTTTCAAATTCGATCACCTCAGCGATTGATTGACAAATGATAAGAATCGAGCGATTGGCACTTATCTGATCGCACACCTCTTCGAACACATTTTGCAGCCACTTCTTTCGTTTTGTCGACAAAACCGGGATATTTTCGTTGAAAATCTTTGGTTTGAAAGTTGGAATTCGCAACAGATCGGCATCGTAGAGACTGACGAGACTGTTGCTCTCTTCAACAGATCCAAGAGTTCCGCTGAATCCATTCAACCTTAGGTATCCCTTAAGATACGAGACGTTCGACACAAAAACGGCCTTCATACTCAACGGGGTCAGTCGACAAGCGTGTTTCAACTGCAGAAACTGATGTAATCCCTCACTCCACTGAGACGTGCTTAAATCTGTGCCAGTTCCTCGATCAATGATGGTGATTTGAGCGTGGAGATCGCTGCTTCTACCTGTGTGATCCAAATCAACAACGTACTCGACATCGGGCTGAAGGAACATTGCTTTCTTCGCGTTGGTGATAAACTCGTCAAGGTGCAACAAAGCAACATCTTGTAGATAGACGGGGATTCCAATCTCTTGAATCCGATCACGAACTACGACCAGCATCGTGAGCACACGCGAAGCTGTTTCCGAACCACACTCTTTCTTTAGCTCGTCGTGCAGTTGTTTTACTTTTGACCAATCTTTGACGAGTCCCTCCTCATTGATCACCTTGTTTTTCAAGAGTAGACGCCAAACGGCAACCACTTCTTTTGTCATTTCTTTCACCTCCAGCAGATCGGCAATATCTTCTTTTGTGATTAGTCCGAAAATGTCTCGTAGAACGGCTCTTCGCAGCTCGAACGAACTGAAGGTATCATCCGCTTGTTCCTCTTTAAGTTTCGGTTTTCGTAGCTCTTTATGAATGTACACGAATAACGGTTCGAGCAGCTCAATGCCAGCGATAGTATGCGAGAGGTACAACATATTACTGCCGTTGTCAAGCAACATGCTGTCCACTTCATCGACAATCACATTGCACCTGGCTCTTGAACCCAAGATGTTCTTCTTGTAGAACGAGTGCAGCAGAAAGTCACGTTGAAAACGGGTAATATCTCCGTAGACGACGGCACACTTGTAGGCCTCTTTTCGCTTCTCCATGTCCTCATCGCAATTATGGGCGACCCGGATACCAAAGGCGGCGTAAAGTTTTTCCATCTCTTTTGCGTCTCGTTGTGCCAAGACGGAGGAACTCGTAACAATGTCGACTTGGTCGTTGTGATCACTCAACAAAACTCGCATGATGGCCAATGTTGCGATGATGTACGACTTGCCCTCTCCAGTGTTCACTTGTGAAAGCAAATTGCTTTTGCTAGTGATCGCGGTGAGCACGGCAATTTTCTGCGTGTCTCTCAAACGCAGCTTGCATTTCGTCTCCAACACGGCGCATACAGAAGCAAAAGTTTTCGAGAGGTGATCATCAAGCGGTTGTTGTTTTGTGTTCACCCGCTCAATGATTTCTTTCACATGTTGCAATTCCAGCTCCCTTTCTTCGGCTCGCAGCGCTGAGTCTTGGGGATTCGTGGTGAAACGAATCAAATGGTCCAAGACGCGATCAGCTTTCGGAAACACCTTTTCAAGACTATTCGTTATCCAATCAGCTTTCGATCCCAGGATTTCGTTCTGAACTCGCTCGTTGATTACGAGATTAATCATTTCCGTTCTCTTCATGTTGTGCTCGTCGATTGTGCACAGCGAGCAAATCATGTCCACATTTGACAGATTTTCCAGCATTTGCTCGACATTTTTCGCGTATTCGTCGTTGAAAACCACCTCCTTGTAGGCAATCAGATAGACGAGTCTTGAAATCGTTTTCTCAAAGATATAGCACTCTTGTCTTGACACGTGATCGATAATCTCTTTCAGTTTTCCGACCTCTGGCCTTTTCAACGAGTCCAGGAGAACAATGTAGTATCCAACGGCACCGTACTTTTTCAGCAGCGGCTCAAAGTCGTTCCACTTTTGACACTTTGCAATGTCGACCCATTCGCTTAACTGCATACCGGCCAGCTCGACAACGCGGTCATTGGCGTGAGCAAGCATTTTGATCAAAATGTTCAGCGTCACTTCGTCTAGCTCGATCTCATGCAGTTTTGAGCCAAGGAGGGCTCGAAGCCGAGGCTCGCGAATTTCTTCTAATCGTTTTCGCATCGACTCCACACTGTCTCCACTCTTGCCCTTAAGGGCTGCAAGCACTCTCAACGCCAACCAAATATCTCGAAGCTCTCCGTTTCCCCCGAGAGTCATCGAGATGATCGCCTCCGTGTTCAGCTCCAAATTGCAACGGCATTCAATGAACGTGTTCAACATGAATTGCCACTCGTTTAAGCTCGACGCACAACCTCGTAGGCGGTAAATGAACTGCAGAAAAGCTAGAAAGGTTTTCGAGTCGGCCGTGACACTAACGGCACGCATCCACTCGTCGACTTTTGCGTGAAATCCCGAGTTGAACCACGGTTGAAAAGAGATTTCGTTTGGTGGAAAGTTCCACGAAACGATAGCTGGATCATCTTCGATTGCTTGTCGCATTTTGCGAATGCCAAGGTTTGGTTGAACCTCAGCCCAAGTGGTCCCGTTGATGAAGAGACGTTCAACATGGGACAAGTGAGGGTTTATGTTTTCGACAAGCCGCATCTCACAAAGGCCACTACTTCGGAAAACCTGCAGATTTACCTGCAATTCGTCAGAGATGTAATGACGATAGGCCGAACACGCGAGCCCGTGATTCTCCATGAATACGCGCATTTTGCTGTCGAATTGTGGCAGCGTGACATTGGCTAGAGCTGTTATGAAGTCGGTATGCGTTTCGAGCTTTTCATCGAGCTGTTCGAGCTCACTCCACCAGTCATTCGGTGACAATACAGCCTTATTGTAGAGCTTCCAATAGCGGTAGAGTCTCTGATTGAAGTCGAGTATTCTCGACGAGAGAAAGTACATTTGAATGAGGCTCTGCGGCACGGAACACGGCTCAGCTTTCTGTTGCACGGCTGCACGGCTAGATGAAAAGTAGGAGAAACGCTCGGTGAGGGTTTGTTGGCTTTTCACGAGCTTTTGAAACGGCTTGAAAACGCTTTTATGAGAGCTTATCAAATTTTCGATGTCCTTGAAAGCTTTTCCTTCGGGAGACGCCGAGAACTTGCTCGCACCATACTTCCATACCTTTTGAAGCATCCCTTGTTCTTCTTTATCCTTCTCTTCGCTTAAAAGGATTGGCTTTGTATTGTCTTCTTCTATATTCGATTTCGCTTTCTTTTTCTCCTCCTTTTCTTGCTCTTTCTCAAGCTTTGCCAAAGCTTTTCGCTCGTCTTCGGCCCGTTTTTGTTGCTCTTTAGCGGTGAGGAAGGCATGTAGGTGAGTGCGCACCTCTTCCGGATCAGCCCAATTTAGTACCTCTTTCTGAAACGGGGCAAATAGGTTGTGGTGTTTTTGTAGAAAGATGTTCAGCGTGTATAGTTCAACAATCAATGCGTTATCGGCTGCCAAATCGTGGAGTTGATTGAACAAAACTTTCAAATGGTTTTTCACATTTAGGAGATCGTTTTGAATCCAAAACTCATCCCAAACATCTTTTGGTTCCACATCTTTGAGTCGGCACTCAATTAACGCCATACTTTCCGGTTGATAAGCATCATTTTTTAAAGCGCCCATGTTTTTCGATAGCGCTATTCGATAGCGCTATTTTTGAATTCAGCTTGTCAATCGTTTCCTCAATTATCCGCTGGACAGTCGGCAAAGACATCCGATCCGGCATTTCTGGGCCATCATTGCAAAGTTGATTAGCTCTTGTGAGCTGCCTCTTAATCTTGACCACTAGTTCGGTGTTGTCGAGTGGAAGAACAACGGAAAATATGTCTTCAAAGAGCTTCATTAGAGCCGACAAATTGAGGTTCTCGTTCTCGATTCGTTTGATTACATCCGACTGATCGATCTGCTCAGCTCGACTCTGCCACTCGTGTACCCGATCATCTTCGACGTGTGTGCGCACGAGGGAGATTTCCTGTTGAACGGTTTCCTCGACCTCGACCTCGTCTTCGGCAACCTCTAGAGCCACCCATTCGTTTCCGTCGCCGGCAAAGCTTCCAACCAAAAGGGCATCACCCTCAAAGTGCGAATAAAAATCGCTGATCACCGACTCGATGGCGATGGTGGCTTTAGTGACCGTTCGAGATTGTGTCCGCCGCTCGGTGGATGTTCTCTTTTCAGTCGATTGTCGCTGCGATACAGGCTCTATTTTCACTTCCTCAAAACTCACAAAGCAATCGCTCTCGTTCAGTCGATGTTTGCGATACCCATCGAGCCGTGTTTTTAGGCCAGCGACGTAACACGGAGTCTTGGTAAGTTTTGAACCACTCGTCCCAATATAGTGCTTCGAGGGCTCTTTGGCGGATCGATCAATCAACACCAAGTCATTTCCATGACTGCCAGGGTCTCCCGGGAGCCCACATGCTCCATCAGCCCCATCAGATCCCTGTTTTTGCTCGATGCACGTCTCTTTGAGGCTCAGAGGTCTGCCGTTTGACAATGTGATTAGTGAAAGATCGCCTTTTCTTCCACCCTCACCACCAACCCCATTCACACCTCCCGCACCACCCATGCTTCCTTCGGCTCCAATAATGAGAAAGTAAAGATCGTAAGTTGTGTAAAAGTAACCCTTGTCGCCGGCCATCGAGTATATCATCTTTCTTCCGTCCTCTCCATCATACTCTCGATAAAGATACTGGGCTGAAGAGTCCCAGACGCTTGTCCCATTGCTCTTCCAAGATGAGTCCGGGCGCCAATTAACGAAATAATCCCAAGATGTTAGATAGATACTACCGTAGGAGACACAGAGCTCAGAAATTTTATTAGATGTTATCCCTTTGCCTACATGGCCATTAGCTCCGTTTCCGCCATGTGTGCCCGCCTCTCCATCACCTCCATTCAAGAGTAGTTTCAAATTTTCGGCTCCACGCACCACGCCGGCCACGATGGCAACGTTTCCACTCGATTCGCCGGCCAATCCGTCGACTCCGGCCGCTCCCGAAGCACCCTCACTTCCACCGTCACATTCTCGGCGAGTCGAAAGTGTTGCACAGCGAGAAGTACCTAAAATTAACATGTTTGAATCACGTTTGCGATGAGGAAATGCCCCTCGCTGGTCAGAGAAATCTGTAAAGTATTTAAGCTATTCCCGTCAGGAAACTTTTAATACAATACTTACAGTATGGGTTCCACGATGAACGATGATTACCATTAAAATTTTCCTCAGAAACTTTAAATTATGGCATTAAATCAGCAATACTTTGAAGCCTAGGATTCTTCTTCTACCCAAAGACTTTTAAAACATTAACACTCACCGGACACATTGATGATCGTTTCACTTTTGTGCATAACAAGCTTATCGGTGATCAGGCATAAGTTTTTCCCATTCCACCTCTCGCCCGCCAAATTACAATCGACTATCAAAGCGTCGGCCGCATGTATTCGCACCTCGATCAACTCTCCGTTCTCTTCGAACCTTTTCGCGATATCATCAACGATTTTACTTGTGTAAATCGTTCGCGCAACCACCTCCAAAACGTTTTTCGTCGACTGTTTAAAGTTTGGTGGTCGTAAAAAACATTCCAACATTTCGCGAAGCTTTTCCTCTGTCTTTTTGAAGAAACAATCTTTGTCAATTTCTTCCAAAGAATCCTTTATTTTATGCAAGTGGAAATCACTCTCATCTGTTACCCAGTCTATTGCTTTCAGCCTTTCGAGAGTTGGCGTTTGGTTATTTTCATGAAATCTTTTCCATTGTTCCCACTGTTCCCGAGACATTTCCCCGGAGGTGAGCCATGACGCAATCGCTAGGCAGGCCTCTTTCTCAGCTTTGTTCGACGAGAAATGGAGGACGAGTCGATTCAGGTGTTTTCGGATTCGATTGTTCACTTGTTTTCGCAACTTGTCGTTCGTTTTGAGGAGACTACGAAGCTCGTTCAGTCGACGAAAAGCCACATCGCTGGTGGATCTGTAATCAACTTTTTTTTGAAGTTTTAAATTTTTATGCAGTTAATTTATCTAGACATTTTTATTTGAGTGCATTTAAAACCAATCCTAAATAGCATAAGCCACTAGCCAGTTTCCACTCAACGAACCTCGTTAAACCCAAAGTTTTGTCGATTAACTTCGAGTCGATGTTCGGATCCGGTTCGTCGTTGATTTGCATAAAGAACTCCTCGTTTCGGCCACAACACAGCTCGGTGATCGTGTTGTTAATGTCGTGAAGAACGGCATCTCGAAGCGACTCTTCGTAAAGGTGGTAGGCTTTTTCTCTCGCAACCTCAACGATAGAGTTGTGTTTTTGCTTTTAAAATGCACATTGAAACTACCAACTGCACCAGATTGTTAAAATTTTAGCCTGAGTACATATTATATAACTAGAGATTTAAGGCCGGATTCAGATTCTAGAGTCTTTTAAGTCCTCATGTGCAAATTTTTGGGATTTAGTTATTCATTTTGATCCCTGGTCCAAATCGGCCGTTTCGCAAAATATGCACGGTCGTCAATGTGTTAAGTGAGATTTCTTTAAGGAAAGCTGCAACCGAGTAAAGTCTAAAGAAGCGTTGAGCTATCCTTTAAGCTAGCTAAACAACGAATTTAACCTAACTATTAATGACGTGACTTGACCCATTGCAGTCCGATAGGGAAACCCTAATTGTAAGAGTTCAAAGAAAAAGAGTTGAATACAATTTCTAGAATAAAATCGAATTTCTCGGAATTGAAACTCACTTTGTGCTTGAGAGCACCAGATGGGAAGCCGTTTAGCACCTGTTCGATCTCCTCCCAGCGCTTTCCCTCGTGAACCCCTTTCTGCACAATCAGCGTGAGCGTGTCGACATTTCGCATTTCCTTCCCCAAATTCAAAAAAACCCAATCTAGAAATTTGCATCATAAATGTTTAGCGTGACAGCTCAATCTTTGAAATAGAATATCGATCGCACCGAACGATTCTCCAAAACTTCGAAATGCCGAATCAACTTTATTTACTTGGCACATAATGTTGAGACAGAGGTAAAGAGAGGAGGATCGAAACGAAAAGCAAAGATAAAAAGCTACATACATGGCAAGGCAATGAGCAAACCGGAAGGGAATATGACCACGGAGAATGCAATAAGCTGTGCTAGTTTTTGTTTAATTTGAACAAAGTTTTTAAACAATGTTAGTTTTATAGTCCTCTTTTTTTGAGATTGAAGTTTTTTGGAGGAGCTATTGGGTTGGTGAATTGAAAACTGCCGGACTTTGAACTATAATTTATTGAACATAAAACCATGAATTCATTCCAAATAATTTCCATTATTATTGACGACTTTTGCCCATTTTACAGGCAGTTTGCGGATTCCTCTTTCGTAGTAGGATTTTGGTTTGGGTGGGAGACCGTGTGTGAGTCAAAAATCGAGGACTGGAGATGTCCCAGTTTGAGCACTTTCTTCGAAAGAAACCCAATTTGGTGTCAATAGAAAAGTTGTAGAGAATCAAAAATTAAACTTATAGCCAATTTCCAAAAATATACCAAAAGTAGTTTCGCTTAAAATGCAAGTTTTGTGAAAATTCGTAACTTTGGCATTTCTTGAAAACCAGTTTTTGAATCGATCTGAAAATTTGGATATAAGCTGAATTTTTGATTCTCTACAACTTTTCTATTGACACCAAAATGGGTTTCTTTTGACGAAAGTGCTCAAACTGTCACATATGACAACAGCCCGCAGTTTTCAATTCACCAACCCAATACATAGATTACCTATTGCATCCGAAAATTTATTGGGCTCTAGAACAAAAAACCACCTTTATTTACTTGGCACATAATGTTGGGACTGAGGTAAAGAGAGAAGGATTGAAACTAAAAGCAAAGCAAAGATGAAAAACTACATGCATGGCAAGGCAATGAGCAAACCGGAAGGGGTTATGACCACGGAGAATGCAATAAGCTGTGCTAGTTTTTGTTTAATACTCACGATACTTTCTCTGGAAGCAAATTTTCAGTTTAAAGTTTTATATGTGAAACATTTTGGAAATAACGTCTAGACTTCAAATTTTTTCGCACTAGGCTTACGCCAGAGTTCGGTTTAGCGCACAACGAGGTTAATTATACCAGAATTTAGAACATTTACCACCTATAATAGTTTTAGTGAGCTTTGCCCTAGAGCTAACACACTTTCAACTCACCTCTAGTGCATTCTTGTGCACTTTGATGATCTCGACGCAATTAGCCACCTCCATCACATTGTCGGCCACTCCTTGTCGCGCGGCCAGTTCCAGAGCAGCTTTCACAATCTGAAAGGGTGTTTTTCAACTAATCTTTTCATTCATTTGGGAAAGTTGTTTTAGCATTAAATAGCCCATTAAGTAGACACTGTGGTTAAAAGTTCGAAAGCACTGAAAACTTTGGCGTCTGCTCGCTTAGGACTTTCGAGAGCAGGGTCGTTCTTCAAGCCTGGCACTTAAGCTAGGCTAGGACAGGCCATGGCAGGGCCATACGATTCCTTAACAATACACCTTAATGGACTATGGACCTAACCTAGGGCCGTGGCCTATGGCCCATTTGGAACAGCCCTGGTCGAAAAGTAATTCTTAAGAAAACCTAGTCATTAAACCCACTTTCTTTTCCGAGCCCGCCCTCACATCGATCACCGTTTTTATCCTGAATGCCACAGTGGGGTCCATGTTTTGAAAAAGTGCTTGTTGCTCGGTGGTGAGCTCGCTTAGTGCGCCGTTTGGCTTACGGAGCTCGGCCTCAAGTTTGCGGATCTACGTGTCCACCATCATTCGATGTTTTGCCCCGAACGTTTCCTTGATCCTAAGCAAATAATCCACTTCGGGTATCGTTCCCGCGGTGAAATCCTTTGTCAATTGAAGGACATCACGTAGATCGTTGTTCCCCTTTGCGTGCAGCTGCTCGAGTGCGGCCGGGTGTATGCGGAGTTCGTTGTTGAAGCGAAGTGTCACGCCCTCGCCGCTCGCGAAACGGACCACAGAGCCCGTGTCGGCGACGATTTTAAAAACCTTCTCGGCGTCCATCGAGATAACCGCCGGATGATGCGACCCTTTTGCTTGGTGATGTTGTCGCCAAGGTTGGCTTGCTCGCTGGCCACGAAGTCTCGGTATTTACCCTTGGCGCCCTCATCCTAAAATAAAAGTGTTGAGCTTATACTTCATACAAAAAGCTTTTCTTAGTCAGCTACTGAAAAGCTACAAAAAGTTTTCTGAAGCCTGCATCAATTTTCGTGCTAAACGAATCAAGTTATTTTCTTGATTATTTGCCAGATTTGCTTAGTCCATAATTGTACTTTGTATAACCTAAACTGTCAGTTTCTTTCAAGATATAATACAGTGCGTTTCAAATTCTTAAACGCACCCTCTAAAATAGCGAATTTTGCATTTTGACCACCTCTACAACTATTAATCTGTTTTCTATTAGAAAGAGCATGTCTTAAAACCTAAATAACACGAAAAATAAACATACTGTAAAAAACAAAAATTTTCAAAATAGAAACTTTTTGCTAAGTCAACCGTTTCAAATTCTTAAACGCACCCGCCTTTGCTGTTGTTATTTGAAATTTTTCGTTTTGTTGTGCATATTTTTTATCAAATTTATAATTTTTGTTAATTTCCAGATAAATGGCACACGGAAAGCTGCTCACGGATTATGAGAAAGGCCAGATTGATGCCCGTTTGAGGATTGGCGACTCAATAAGGAAAATCGCAAAAAATTTGGGCCGATCCGACTCTGCCGTGCGAAATTATATAAAGTCCGAGTTCGTTTCTGCACCAAAGAAGAAGCCAGGACCAAAACCAAAGCTTACACCGCGAGCTAGACGTCATATTCTGAACAACATCCACGGAAAAACGATCAATGAAGTGAAAACGGAACTGAAAATCGACGCTTCGAAGTCGACAATTTGGCGAGCCGTCACGGAAAATCCACATATCGATCGACACTTGTTGAACAAGCAACCGGCTGTGACGCTTTTGCACAAGGAAGCCCGATTGGCGTTCGCCAAGGCTCATATGAATCAGGATTGGTCTATGGTTAGAAAGCCGATTATGTTTTATTATTTTTTTGCGTTTAGGTGATCTTTTCCGATGAGAAGAAATGGAATTTGGATGGCCCCGATGGCGTTGGCTACTATTGGAGGGATCTTCGACGTGATCCGATGGTGTTTGGGACTCGAAACTTTGGCGGTGGTTCTGTGATGGTTTGAGCCGCATTTTGTGCTGATGGAACGGTCGCTCTGAAGATGGTTTCGAATTCATTCGAAAATATGAATCGTTTTGACTATATAGACATCTTGGACGATTGCTTGCTGCCTTTTTGCACCTACATCCAGGCGTTCCTCGTGTGTTTCAACACGACAACGCGTCAGTTCATCGAGCCGGAGATACCCGAGACTGGTTGAAAAACAACAACATTGCAACTGTGGACTGGCCCGCTCAGTCTCCTGACCTCAATCCGATAGAAAATTTATGGGGAATACTTGTCCGAGCTGTCTACAAGAATCATCGTCAGTTTCAAGACGTTTCTTCACTTGAAGCAGCAATTTTTTCGGCCTAGAGCGATCTCGACGTCTCTGCTCTTCAAAACCTCATCAATTCAATGCCAGACCGCATTTTTCAAGTAATTAATTGTTCTGGTGCGTGTACAGATTATTAGTTTTGATTTTTTACCTTTGATTTTTAATTTGTGTCGATAAATAAAAATATTTTCATAGTGCGTTTAAGAATTTGAAACGGTTGATTTAGCAAAAAGTTTCTATTTTGAAAATTTTTACTTTTTACAGTATGCTTATTTTTCGTGTTATTTAGGTTTTAAGACATGCTCTTTCTAATAGAAAAAAGATTAATAGTTGTAGAGGTGGTCAAAATGCAAAATTCGCTATTTTAGAGGGTGCGTTTAAGAATTTGAAACGCACTGTATTAACGTATTAAGGTAGATTACGCGTTTTACTCTCAAGAAATGATCTTATGAAATTAAAGATCTGAAAACTCACTTCCATAGCATCTCCCTTCTCCTCTATGAACTTTTGCTGTTTCTCTTGCGTTGCCTTTTCCCATTTGTCGACACGCCTGCTCAGATCATTTTCCTTTGCCTCGAGTTGGGTGACTTTTTCTGTATCGCCATTTTCCCTTGCATCCTTCAGCTCTTTCTGACACGACTCCAACTCTTTCTCGTAGCCGGCCAGCTGTTTGTGGGTGTTTTGAATTTTCATGACCTCGATTCTCTCAAGGACTCTTCTTTCCACTTCCCATTTCTCGATCTCTTTCTGCAAGCTGGCTTCGCTTTGCTTGAGTTGAGCCTCAGCTACGGTGTCACCTTGTTCTTGTGCTTCTTTGAGCCGCCCCCTACATGAAGCTAACTTTCCCTTGGTGTCCGTCAGATGTCGATTTGCATCTTTAATGCTGACAAAGTTCACGTTCTCATGGAATCTCTTCTCGACGGCCCATCTTTGCACGTCTTGCCTCAGAGTGAGCTCATGATCTTCCAGTTGCTCGATCGCATACTTGTCTCCCTTAGCTTTAGCTTCTTCTAGGTTTTTCTGGCACAAATCCAAGTCTTTTTCCGACTCGGCCAGTTGCTTGTTCGCACTCTCCAACTTCTTATCCTCGATCCCAGTCAGTTCTCTCTTCTCGACGGCTATCATATCCCTTGTCTCATTGAGGTTTTCCAGTGTATCTTCCTCAGTTTGTTGTCTGTTCAGTTCGTTTTCCAGGTCGTCTAGTCGTCCTTTGATCTTCTCTTCCTCTTTCGTCAACTCATTCTGCTCTTCCTGGTACTTTTTCTCCTTATCGGCTGCAATTTCAGCTCGGAGACTTTTCAGCAAAGCTCCCGCCGTCTTTGGACCCATAACACACGAGTAGAGGCTCCTCGCGGCGACCACAAAGTTCAAGATGTCCAGAGCGCTGATATTATCTTTCGTCGCCAACGTAAGTACACTCTTTGAAACTCACATTCAACCCATGAATGGTGACGGCAAGTGTCTCCTCGAGTGCCGGGTACTGTTTCTTCGTATACATTTGCTCGTCTTGTAACTCTTTGTTCGCCCGCTCGATCATCTGTTTCGCTGTCTCCTTCATCCAGCAGCCCATCTTTTTGGTTTCCCATTGCTTATCAAACTTGATCTTTTTACCGATCGAGTACGGCGTTTCACCCATTTCTGAAAATGAATTAGCACAAAGCCGGCAACAAATGGCAAGTATCGTCAAGCGAAGAACTTTCAGTTTAACATAAGGTTTTTAAATTATTTTATTCAATACAAACATAAAAATAACATGTGAAAATATGAACACAATAACGACAACTATAGCTCTGTATTGACCTATTCAGGTATTCTGGCAAGCCAATCTTCAGTGCAGGGGTTCAAATAGTGGGGATACTCGAAAAATGTTTGAAAGAATATGGAAAAAAGACGCAATTGAAAAGTGATAAATAGTTGTTTTCAGGATGGTTGAACTAAACCGAATTTCTCTCGCGACTTCTCGCGTTGCACTTCGAGCCACCAGTGATGCGAAAGCGGCACGAAGCGCAGATCGAAGTCTCGATCATAGTCCCATTCACGGTCCTCGGCCCAGTGTGTCAGGTCATTGTCGACATCCTTGAGAAAAGCCGAGCCCATTAGCTCGTCCATTTTTACCTTCACCTCATCGCGTTGCTCGTTGACGATGTCGTCTTGAAGGAATTGAAGAGCCGAGCGGAGCTGCCTGAAAACGTTTGCATCGATAGGTGGGTTGAAGTCCTCTTTCTTCCAATCTTTAACTATTTGGATGTCAACTATCATGTTTAAGGTGGCTTGATGTCGATTGATGTACTTTTCCACCTAGACAATTTACAATATTACCGTAATAAAAAGTGAATCAAGTCATTCCGATATCTTATATTATAATAGAAACCTCAGGACGATTCTGTTTGGTACGGTATAGCAGCTTTCAATCTTATCTCCTTTTTATAAGCTCATTAATCGACATAAACATATTCTATAATAATAATAATTAAGAGCATAAATATCAGTGTATGCCCACCTGAAACGCATGACACTCTCGACGCCGAGTCCTGTGTATTGCGCATCGAGATTATCCTCGAGGCGCGGCAACGCCATTAGCAGATTTTTCTCGAGTTCCACTTTTTCGTGTTGAACGAACTGTTCGATCGGTTTCATCTCATGCTCACGACATCCAATGCAAAAATAGAGAATGGGAAGAAGAAAATCTTCGGCCAGTCCGTGTCGAAGTGTCTTATTCGTGGCACACTGGGCGAGGGCGGTGACCAGGTCGCCTTTTAGTCGAACGATATCCGCAAGTTTCACCGGCATCCTGGAATGTTGGGTTTTTAAAAAATGACGCTATGAATGATTGGATGACAGACTAGAAACACAGAAGGATAAATTTTAATGATAGAAAATATTCAAGCAAGGAGACGCAAAGGTAAAAGTGAAAGCAAAAGTTAATCAAATGTTCTGGTTGGGGTAACTACTAGGGCTGAGTTGTAAACATTTAGAACCAAAATACCCATTAATACATTTTGATAGTCAATGGTTCACTTAGACCTACTAGTTTGATCTGTGTGTTGTATCAAACTCATTTTTAAAATCTAACCTACCAGAAGACAATTTACTTGAAAACATTTTTCAATAGATACTTTAAAACAGCAAAACGGTCGGGCGCGTCAAAAATGGAGACGAAGGAGAGAGCCGAGTGCGAGCGTTTGGCGCCGTTGTATTTTGATTGCACAAAAAAATTCGCCTTTTCTGTCCCATCCCCTTTTTCTACTCGACCTTCTCCCTTTTCTTCTCCAGAAAATACCCGCATGCCAATTGATGGGTTTATCCTCTTCGGAATTGTCGCCTTATCGGCCCCAATAGCAATTTGTGAAACGACTTTGTGGGCAGAGAGATTAGAGATGAAGAGTCGCTTCGAAGAAAAAATGACTTAAAATGGAACAACTTGCTTGAGGAAAAGAATAACGTTTTGAAGTACAGGACATAAACGTAAATAGTAATACGAATCTTATATTTAAATTCCTCTGAAACGTCTATGTATGTATCTATGTACCGTCTGACATTAGTTTTCGTTTGTTTTCGTATCTCGAATATGAGTGGTTGTTTATTTTTTGAACATTGTGACAAAATCCCATGAAAATTCCAAAGCCGAAACACAAATTGACTATTGACCGTGTTTAAATTGTACGCTTTTGCTTTTCGATTGGGTCATCTAAAGTCAGAAAGGGTTGCCTGAAGAACAAATCAAGTATCATGGTTTATTCAAAGGTGGAAAACGAACCAAGGCAAAATATAAAAGACCTTAAAAAGAGTTAAAGTTTAATCAAACAATTGAATTTTTCATAAGGGTCCAAGAGTGTTTAACGTTCACAAGTTATTGGGTTGGTGAATTGAAAACTGCGGGACCTTGAACTAAAATTTATTCAACATAAACCCATCAATTCATACCAAATAATTTCCTTTATTATTGACGATTTCTGCCCATTTTACAGGCAATTTGCGGATTCCTCTTTCGTAGTCGGATTTTGGTTTGTGTGTGAGACCAGTGTGAGACTCAAAAATGGAGGACTGGAGATGTCCCAGTTTGAGCACTTTCTTCAAAAGAAACCCATTTTGGTGTTAATAGAAAAGTTGTAGAGAATCAAAAATCAAGCTTAGATCCAAATTTTCAGAACGATTCAAAAACTGGTTTTCAAGAAATGCCATATTTACAAATTTTCACAAAACTTGCATTTTAAGCGAAACTACTAAGTGTATCTTTTTGGAAATTTGGCTATAAGCCTAATTTTTGATTCTCTACAACTTTTCTATTAACACCAAAATGGGTTTCTTTTGAAGAAAGTGCTCAAACTGGGACATATGACAATAGCCCGCAGTTTTCAATTCACCAACCCAATAGTTTCGAGTTTACTTATCGAAACTTTCATTCCAACATAAGTAGTTTGCCAGGATATGACCGACCGTTAGTCTGAGCAAAGCTTTTAATTTGCTTAATTCCAAAATATCTATCATATAGCTTTTCAAATAGATGTTCTCGTTTATTGTACTGGCAATGATCGGGTTGGGGTTCATGTCGGCGGCCACAATTCCACACCCAGGCCATATCTCGATGTGCGACGCGTGCAGGTTGATTATAGAGATAATAAAAACAACTTTTTATCAAAAATAACTACCGTAAAATCTATAATAAAGCCCCATTTTAATTACTACTAGAAAAGTTAGTTTGAATCTTTTTCATTGGTTGTATGAACGTTGGTCATTTTGCACAGTTGCTTGGACAATTATCTCTGAATCATCATTTTTCCTCATAAATGCACATCGATGGCTTGTGATTCTGTTTTAAAGCACACAAGTTCTAAAGTTCTAAAGCACAAGAGAAAGTTTCACGGAGAGACAAACTTTGTTCAAAACTTTTCCTGTAAGGGGCAAAACTGAGTTTTTGGTTCGTAGTGCGGTAAATTGAAATTTTGCAATTATATATCACTTCGCAGATGTCTATCTTGCGGTGACATCAGCGATAAATGTTTCCTCTGACTGAGAAAAGTTGTACATGTATTAGATGTTGTTTGTTCTAAATACAAAAAGAATAGCCAACACAGAACAAACGCCACAATTGCCACAATCAATAGGGACGGGTGGGCTGTGATAAGAGGGATGAGTGTTTGTGCTTTTGGTACTAGCTTAGTTGGGGGAGAGGCAACATTACGGCATTCCACACTTCACTAATGTCAGCTCCGAGCCAAACTGATATTTTAGTTACTACAGTGCGTTTCAAATTCTTAAACGCACTATAAAAATATTTTTATTTATCGACACAAATTAACAATCAAAGGTAAAAGATCAAAACTAATAATTTGTACACGCACCAGAACGATTAATTACTTGAAAAATGCGGCCTGGCATTGAATTGATGAGGTTTTGAAAAGCAAAGACGTCGAGATAGCTTCAGGCCAAACGGATCGCTGTTTTAGATACAAATATACGTCTTGAAACTGACGATGATTTTTGTAGGCAGCTTGGACAAGTATTCAGCATAAATCCCCTATCGGATTGATGTCATGAGATCGAGCGGGTCAGTCCAAAGTTGCAATGTTGTTGTTGTTCAGCCAGTCTCGGGTGTCTCTGGCTCGATGAATTGACGCGTTGTCGTATTGAAACAAACCGGGAACGGTTGGATTTAGGATCAAAAACGGCAACAAGCAATTGTCCAAGATATCTATCTAGTCATCCGATTCGAAACCATCTTCAGAGCGACCGTTCCATCAGCACAAAAGGCGGCCCAAGCCATCACAGAACCACCGCCAAAGTTTCGAGTTCCAAACACCATCGGATCACGTCGAAGATCCCTCCAATAGTAGTCAGCACCATTGGGACCATCCCAATTCCATTTCTTCTCATCGGAAAACTCACCTAAACGCAAAAAAAAAAAATAAAACATAAGCGGCTTTCCAACCATAGACCAATTCTGATTCATATGAGTCTTGGCGAACGCCAATCGGGCTTTCTTGTGCAAAAGCTTCACGATCGGTTGCATGTTCAATAATTGTCGATCGATATGTGCATTTTTCCTTGATGGCTCGCCAAATTGTCGACTTCGAAGAGTCGATTTTCCGAGCCGTGTTCACTTCATTGATCGTTTTTCCGTGAATGTTGTTCACAATATGGCGTCTAGCTCGCGGTGTAAGCTTTGGTTTTGGTCCTGACTTCTTCTTTGGTGCAGAAACGAACTCGGACTTATCTAATTTCGCACGGCAGAGTCGGATCGGCTCAAATTTTTTGCGATTTTCCTTATTGAGTCGCCAATACTCAAACGGGCATCAATCTGGCCTTTCTCATAATTCGTGAGCAGCTTTCCGTGTACCATTTACCTGAAAATTAACAAAAATTATAAATTTAATAAAAAAATATACACAACAAAACGAAAAATTTCAAATAACAACAGCAAAGGCGGGTGCGTTTAAGAATTTGAAACGGTTGATTTAGCAAAAAGTTTCTATTTTGAAAATTTTTACCTTTTCCAGTATGCTTATTTTTCGTGTTTTTTAAGTTTTAAGACATGCTCTTTCTAATAGAAAAAGATTAATAGTTGTAGCGGTACTCAAGGTGCAAAATTCGCTATTTCAGAGGGTGCGTTTAAGAATTTGAAACGCACTGTCCTGAACTGCAGTTGCATAGACCCGGAAGATATGTATCTTTATTTACAGTAGTACGATAAGACGAATAGATTACAAATGAGTGTAAGGGAAAGGGGGACTCCAAGTGAGAGTCTCACTTGTTCTCCTAGGCAATCCCAAGGACCACCCCTTCTCGGCGATGAAAGGGATAAGCACAGGGGAGAACACATTTACATAAGATTAGACAAATCATTCAATAATAATAATACAATAATCAATTCATCTGATCACTTTAGGTATGGGTAAAGCGAAACAAGTGTCTGTGGCTCATCGAGAATCGATTGTGAAATGGCGAAAGGAGGGAAGGAAGGAAAAAGAGATTACGGCTTTGATTGGTGTCAACAAAGGTACAATTTCTCGAATCTTGAGTGGCTACAATCAAACCGGAGTTGTTATGGCAAAAACTCGAAAAGGTCGACGCAAAAAGGCCACTCAACGAGATGATAATCGAATGCGGAACGGTGAAGAAGAGCCGAGCACTTACCAGAAAATTTTCTTGGTGTATAAAGTGGGTCAGAACATGTTAAAACCACCCACTTGATATTGTAGAAGATAGCACTGGTACGATTGCATATTTTTCGGCGACTGCGTGTAAATGAGATAAGTAACAAAGCAGTTCCAGCTAGTGCCGATCACAAAAGTTGCCCGTAAAAAGTTGAGATAAACGAAAGGATCGGAATAGAAGGCATGAAATGACTCGTTCATCGGTTTAAACCTTTGAAAGGGGGACTAATAGTGAACAGATCGGTTAAAAAGCGATAAAATGCTAAAAGCCACTTTTCTAAATTATTTTTGAGCCCAATGAGCCAAAGCCTATCTCCGATCATTTGTTATTTTGGTTTCTTCTTAGCGAGCACAAAACATACGCGAGAGCGACTATCCGAAACTTGCAGCTGTCATTCAGGCATTGAGTGGGTAGAAAAAAGATTTAAAGGTTTAAACCGATGAACAAGTCATCTCATGCCTTTTATTCTATCCAATGGCTGATTGCTGAAGATTAAAAGTCTACGAAATAAAAATAAAGTACGTTTTAAATACATAAAAATAACGTTATTATTTAGAAGTTTCCTGAATTCGCAAATCGGGGGAATAATGACGCCGACTTTCAACTTGGGATTGTTGGTCCAATGCTTGGTTTGCTTTTTAAAATATTTACTAAACATTATTTGGCTTTAGGTTTTCAAAAAAATGAGGAGCAAGCGGAAATCGATTGTCGACACGATTCGATTATGATGGAAAAACATATGGCCCATTCTGCTCAAGAGAATCAGGGACGAAAGATGATTCAGACCAGTGAACAAAGGTACTTTTGCGTTTTCAATGCTTTCATTATGATTACTTTTAGATTTGCACCAATTGATGTTGGACAAAATGTTTTGATGCCAATTCCTTGTGTCTATCGACCCAAGATTGAACCACGGAATTTGATGGGAGTCGTCACAGGTGCTCTTTATTTCTAAATGTAAAAAGAAATTCTAGCCACTGAAATACCAGTGGACTCGGCCCATTATCACTTTTGAAGGTCAAATCCACCGGAAACCAGTGGATTTTGCCCTTAATTTCTTTATATGGTCAAACCTACCGAAAACCAGTGGATTCAGCCCCTGCTTCTCTCTATGGAATAAAATCCACCGAAAACCAGTGGATTCCTGTAACTGATGGTTTTTGCTCGATCGGGACACAAAATGGGCATCTTCGGCAAACATTCGCTAGGAATCAACTGGCTCCATGTGGAGCTGAATTCTTCTCGATCAATTCAATTCCGCACGGGGAGACATCGTTGAGAACTGCTGCTGGGGCAGCATCGATCTCTGGGAGCTAAGGTAAGCACATTTATTTGCACTTATAACCTTCTTGTTAATCTTTCTTTTTTCTTTTTCTTACAAATTCAAATGTTTTTACCTCAGCTAAAATATTCTAATTTTAGGTCACACTCATTGCTTGTGCCTGAGCGGATGTACGACAAATCGATGTGCTTGTCGAAAGAAGGGTTCTTCTTCTTACTTTGCAGCTCGAGATGCCACCCCGCAAGAAGTTGTACTAATAAGTGATCTTTTTGTTGCTTGTTTTAGCTTTTTTCAATTTCAGAATGACACTTTTAGTAACATGCATTATGTGCGTAGTAAAAAGAGCTTTTGTTTAAGTTGTTTAAGTTTAAGTTGATTGTTGTTTGACTTTGTTTTTCATTTAGTTTTTTTGGTTGTATCTTGAAATTCAGACAGTTGCTAACTAATTTTATTAATGTTGTTAATGATTGTATTGCGAGTAAAAATGAGTGTATGTCAATCTATCTTTTTAAAAAAACTTTATTTTTTGATAAAGGCTAACCAAGGCGCAACAATTGTGTAAGTGACTTTACAAGAGGTTCGTTTATGAGAGGAATATCCCTTCAATAATTATGTTTAATAAATTTGCTCAATTAGCATTAAAAGTTGGTGAATTGGCATTTATCGGATTGTGGTCGGATTAGGACGTCCGACACCGACCACAAGATAATCAGTGGCCGGATTCGGACGTTCGGATCAGATTCGGACACCTGGTCGGATTCGGACGTAACATATACATTAAGTAGCATTCAACTCAACTGAGTAGAACAACGCACTCAAATTCAGATCCCATTGCTGTCATCGAATTTTCTCCTTGAAAACTGACTAGGGAAAGGCACGAACTCAAGGTGAGCTTTTGTCTGGAAACCTTATAGAATCGCGTATGAAGAATCCGAATCTGAAACGAATTTCAGATTTGGATTTCAGATTCAGATTCCTACCCGTTTCTATAAAGTATCCAGACAAAAGCTCACCTCCAGCTTGTGCCTTTCCCTAGTGAGTGCGAGTACTTTTCGTGTTTGAATCAAACTTTTATCATCAAATCATTGTTTTATCATTTTATTATCACAACAAATATCCTCAAACTTTAGCCCTCAAAATGTCAGGGACTTTAATGGAGTTCACTCGTCCGGTGGTTGGCTGTGGCATCATTGTGTTCAATATTTTTGGAAATTTTGGCAATTTGAATATTTTATGGGCATGTAAAAGAGGACATTTGAGAGGGAAACACGGTAAGAAAAATGGAAAAGGTTTAGAATTCAAGCTCTTCTCGATATAATCTCTATAAAAAGGTTGAGGAAAGTAAATACAATCAAAAGTACAGTTAAAAGTACAACTTTAACATTCTTTTTTGCTACAGTATACCCAAATAAAAGTATTCCTCGACTAGACTGAAAATTTGACTAATTTCACCGGTTCAAGCACTTTAAAAGTCAATTCAGGAATCCTTCTCACGATTACCTCATTTTTCCAAAACATTTGCTTGATTTTTGAGCTCTGCCAAACGTATTGCATGTTTTTCACAGCTCAGGTAATCTCTAATTATCATAAGAGAGAGAGACTACCGTAAATACTGTAATAGTACCCCACCCCCACAATGACGGTGCGGAGTGTTGCGTAGTCTAGCTTTGAACGAGTGTTTCTCGACACTGGTTTATGCTACAATGCGCGCTTAGGTATCAAAAAATAGCCCTGAATTTCAGCTATTTTTTGATACCAAAGACGCATTTTTAGAAAGTACGCGTGCTTTGAAAAAAATGAAATACTAAAAAACTTTTGCGACTACGCGACTGTACGAGGGCGGTGGGGTACTATTACAGTATTTACGGTATCTATTTGTGTGTGTCTATCTGTGATGCAATTTTTAAAAAAAAACAGCTGGGCAGATCGGTCTGAAAATCGATTATTATTATTATCGAAGATCGACTATTCTATCCAAAATTTTATGTAATTTTCAAAAATCTAATTACTTTTGGGGGTTAATTGAACGGTTTTTTTGCAAAAATGAATGCAGGATTTCAGAAGCTCCTTTATACGCGAGTGCTTAGTGGCGCTGTCTATCAGTCTGGAGCTAGAGGGGGGTTGTTGGTTCGACTCCCCTAAGCTTCCGAGGGATTAGATTTGCTTTATTTTGTGATGAAAATGTTTTTTTAAAGCTATAACGAATAACATTGGTGTTTAATCTTTTAAAAAGTAGTTGTAAAAGGAAAGATAAGTTGAGAAAATTGTTTTTATGAAAAGCGAATTGAAATAAAATAAAATCAAATTCATTGAAGGTAACGCCAAAAAATAACATCTATCAATCAAAAAGTATTAAAATCTTTTAAACTCGGTAAGGATCAATTTAAAGAAGGGATCCGAATAAGACACTAAAACCAATTAGTAGGTATATAGTAAGATAATTTTTGATTAAACAACATTTACAGAGTGGCGCACAATTACCCGCACTCAAGTCAGATTCTCCAGCTTAGCGAAGAGTCAATCAAACGGACTAATCGAACTAACTAGTACTCATTTCAATCCCTCGCCATCTTCATTCCAATTTTCAGTTCACTCGTGAGTTCTGCTTTTGGTTGATGTCCCCGTATGTTTTCACAATTTGTATGCAACAAGTTCTACTGTTATCTCTATCCATCGATCTCCTTATCTCAATTTTCTTGCCAGCTTTGTAAAGCCGAAATTTTCACTTGAAATTCTCAATTTTTCTAGTCATCGAAGAACTCCAACTAGCACGTCTCCCAGCCGTTGCTTTTTCCACATGGTTATGGGTGTTGGGAGTGACAACGATTGATGATGGTAATGATCAAATGGAAAATTGATTGATCTACGAACTAAATCTAGATTTAAACTTTTATTTTGCTTTGAAATGACCCGCTGAAATGCTTGGAAGTGTTTGATGATTGATCCCTAAGAATTGATCCCTAAGGATGACGGAGTACTCTGACTCTTGTCAAGTTAAGGTGATTTGAATAGGGCTATCAGTGTATTCGGTAAGGGTTCTCAATACTGATGCTGAATTCTTTTTTAACTTCTTTGATTCTGAAAGAAGGGCTATGATCGAAAAATTGACCATAAAGTCATCCGAGTCAGCGTTAAAAGTTAGATTGATTCACATTTATCTTTTAACTTTACCAGTTTTAACTTGACACTTCCTGGTACTTTTTTGTACTTACACTTTCCTGGCCTAGGTTGTGTTCCTTCCGAGTAAAAGTTGCATGAGTCATTTTTACTCGATTAATCGACGTTTTTCGCCGAGTAACTACGAAGTAATCCTCTTTACACGCCGAGTGAATTGAATATCTTTACATTTGAAGAGAATTTGTCACCAAATCAGTTAAACAGTTGAATATCTTTAAAAAGAAATTGTATATAACTCAGCGCTCGTGATTTTTCGCTTCAATTTTTTGCAATAATTTTCGCCAAAGTACGGTAATTTTTCGCAGTTTTTAAAAAACGTATTACTTGCGAGGAAACACACTCTATTTTTGCCCAAATTTCATTGTATTGTCGCCATTTCATCAACACTTCCACATACATTTTACAGGGTGTTCCACAATTACGGTAACCAGTTTTGGAAAACTATTCTTTTCCAAAAAATTTTCTACAGAAAGTAGCATGTATTATATACCATTTGAAAGCTCTAATTCTCAGCATCATTAATACAATAAAGCTTTTTTGGTCAGAGCTCATTTTTAACCGTGACTGGCCTTTGGAATGAGCTCGCCGCAGCACCCCCACGGCGATCTGCCATTTTTCGTGGTTTTGAATCTAAGAAGCGTTTCAAAAAGATTGTTTTCAACTGACTAAACTTTTTTCAATTCTTTTGGTTTAAAATAAAAGTAAACTTTAATCGAGCATGTGCAAGTTCATTGTTAAAACGGGCTCACAACTTGCTGCAAACTACCATTTTGTGGCGAGTAGTGAAATTCACGTTTTTCGGGATTTCTGGTTCTGCTGATTGTCATTTTGGCTTTAAAGTATTGAATTAAATTAATTTTGATAAAGTATGTACAAATTTTATTGTATTTCCTGTTTCTCGGACGAATTTTTACTTAGAAAACAACGAAAAATGGCAGATCGCCGTGGGGGTGCTGCGGCGAGCTCATTCCAAAGGCCAGTCACGGTTAAAAATGAGCTCTGACCAAAAAAGCTTTATTGTATTAATGATGCTGAGAATTAGAGCTTTCAAATGGTATATAATACATGCTACTTTCTGTAGAAAATTTTTTGGAAAAGAATAGTTTTCCAAAAACTGGTTACCGTAATTGTGGAACACCCTGTAAAATGTATGTGGAAGTGTTTGATGAAATGACAACAACACAATGAAATTTGGGCAAAAATAGAGTGGTTACCGTAATTGTGGGACAAGCTTTATAGAAACTCTCTGGTTGTGCAACCCTCCACTGGCGTATTCACTCGGATCACGAAAGATTTGGACAAGGAGTTGTGTCTTGATGTGTTCTAACACTTTTCTTCTACTTTATCTTGTTGATGTCATTTTTGATCCAAGGTAAGTCATTTCTAGATAAAGATCATCAATACAAATTTAGCAATAAAAAAGTATCGAGCAAAAAAGAAAGCACCGGCAGCTTCGACTACGGTAGATTCTTATGAAGAAAAGGTAGGATTTGCCATAAAAAGAATGGCTTGAATTTTCTAAAATTTCCCATTTTCAGGCAATCCGATCAGTCTCCATTTTGGTGATAGCTTTCCTTTTCTCTTGGTTCGTCGCGCTTCTCGGGAGTGACACAGTGCAATATTTGGGTTTATCTCCAGATATTGTACCCGTTTTTCAAACTTACATGGTAAGCAAGAAACATTTACGGTAGGTTATCAGACATTTAATTCGCGTCCTTTCCTTTTTGCTATTGGCAACCTAACTTTGAGCTCAAATATCTTGGTGTTGGGCTGTCCAATTTAGATTTCCTTAATATCATTAGATGCGCCAAGTCTTTCTCTGTCGATTGGTATAAAAACTATTTAAATTGAACAGCCCAACACCAAGAAATTTGAGCTCAAAGTTGGATTGCCAATAGCAAAGGGGGTGGGGTTGTGGAACCTTTTATACGCGCCCCGTCCCTTTGCCATCGGCAATCTAACTTTGAGCTCAAATATCTTGGTGTTGGGCTGTTGAATTTCAATATTCTTGGTATCATTAGATGCGCTAAATGTTTCTCTGTCGCTTGGTAGAAAAATCATTTAAGTTGAACAGCCAAACATCGAGATGTTTGAGTTTAAAGTTGGATTTCCAATGGCAAAGGCGTGGGGGCATATCAAATGTCCGATAACCTTTACGGGGTCCATTCATTTCTGCCAAAACCAGAAGTCTTATGTGGGATCTGGAAATCAAATAGAAAAGGAAATTTGCCAAATAGAAAAGGAAATGAAATAGGAAAATCTCATTTTTGAGCACAAAGTGCAAGACAGGTCTACTTAAACGAATCTTGAACCACTTCGCTACGCTATAGAAGATCATTTTTGAATCACAAACTCAAATTTTTTTAAAGAATACATGTGCCTTCGATTCGTAAGCTGAATATCTCGAAAAAACGGCCTGTGTACTTGAAACTTTCAAAGTACCTTTGTACTGTCTTTTTCTCATCTTCACGAAGATTTTTCTTGAGATTTGCACGGCCACGTATTTTGAACTTTCAAAAAAGTAAATCTGAAAAGAAAATTAAGACAAAAATAATTGAGGAAATGGTTTTCATAGCGAACTTTCGATCGTGTAATTGAATTTTTTCAGCTTTTTTAACTTTTCAGGTATTCCCAGCATTGCTCACCTATTCGGAACCCTACTATCTATTGTTCATTAACAGGTAATCGTAAAAAATATAGTTTAAAGCTAAAAAAAAAGGTTTAGCAAAGAGTATCGTACCATTTTCAAGGATCAATTGAGGATTTTGTTCAGGTAAAAGCTCGTCTCTTCAAAGCCATATTTATTTTAGAACGGAGAAATCGCCAACGCGGAAAACGAGCCGAGTCTCGGTGACACTTATGAAGCATTGAAGTGGATGAAAAATAAACTTTTAATCTTTTTTATTGATCATGAAAGAGAAAATTACAAAAATACTAACGTTTTGGGCCGAATTTTGGGTGCATTTGAATTCAATTTTGAGACATTTGATCCGCGCCCCGTTCCTTTGCCATCGGCGCTTTTCTCATTGACAATCTAACTGGAGCTCAAATATCTTGGTGTTGGGCTGTCCAATTTCAATATTCTTAGTATCATTAGATGCGCCAAGTCTTTCTCTGTCGATTGGTATAAAAACTATTTAAATTGGACAGCCAAACACCAAGAAATTTTAGCTCAAAGTTGGATTGCCAATGGCAAAGGGGTGGGGGCATATCAAATGTCCAATAACCGGCCTGGTCATGTGGAGAAATCAAAAACTAAAGTCAAAATTACGGTAGCTCAAGGAAGTTGGCACATTTTCGAGTTCAAGAGGAGCACCTCTAGTTTATCATCGAAACAAAATATTATAGAAGGCAAAGCATGAGTACAGAAACGCACAAATGCGCTTAAAGAAAAACTTTGCTCACAAATCAAATTCTATCATTTACTCAGCAGCTGCTTCCAATTTCAATTAACAGTTTTCATATCTGAATATCTGAATTAACAATTATCAACTTACACATGCCACGCTGAACAAATTGTGCTTGTATTTTTATTTTAATTGCATTGATTGTTCGAATTGAGCCTAGGAACAGGTCTAATAAGTCTGGATTGGCTAGATTAGAACCCAGTAAAGTTCAGTCTAGCTTCTAAAAGACCCAGGGACTTGTTCCAGCATACCTTAAACAATCTATTGGGTTGTCTAGTTCTGAATGCGCGTTTTTTACTATTTTGTAAATTTCTCAAGATACCGAAATCAAGAAAAAGATATATATGAGTTATTATTCGAAAGCTGAAGATCTCCTCTACATTTTGATATAAAAAGTTTTTGAATTTGTTCAGCTTTTGGGCAAATTGACTGCACAGAAGAAGAGGTGGCCAAAAAATGGAAGGGTGCCTTTGGATCAAGTTTTGGCTTCGCTCAAATTGAGTTAACCGTTTGATGTTTGGCCAATAGATATATCAATACAACTTTTTTAAAAATATAACAATTTCAGAGCACATAGAATAGAAGAAAGTTATGGCGAGTTGCGTAAATGACCCTGTTACGAAAAAAAAGTTGCGGAAACTAGCCTAGCCCCAAATTAGCTCTGTATTACGAATTACTAATGTGCTTTCCCTTGAATTCACTAGACGTGGCTAGATCTGTGCGCTTTTGCTTGAATGAATAATAATATCAAGTTTATTACACGTGGGGCAAAGAAAACGTTTCAACGAAGCTCAAAGAAACAATGGGTTGACTCAGAGACAAAAAGGAATCACTTTGTGGAAGTATCTCGAACAAAAGAAACCAACTTTCACAAGACAATTGAGAGAAAACTTTTGCAAATGGGGATGAGGCGTCCTTTTATACGAGTGCGACATTGTTTAAGGTATGTTATTTCTGGGGTCTTATTGAACTGCGGCAGTTTTTTGGTGACTCGTCGTCACAAGCAGCCAATGATGTTGCAGTTGCCAATGATGAGGCTCATCACTTGAAAACTTTCTCCAAACTGATCATTGACCCAGCTGGCAGACCTTTGATATAAGTTTGTTCAGGAAATGAACTCGAGTCTTTCCCAGTTTTCAAATCAAACCACTCGGATAGCCTATTTCCGGTAAAAGCTAACATTCTCGCCTCAAAATTCTCGTTTATCACCGTTAGCGTGTTTTTCAGGGCAGGATTGACATTTATGCTTGTCTCTGAATCAAAATACTTTTGCAAAAAATCGGCTTCAACTCGACGAAACTTCAAATCCAGCGCAATACACGGCACTTTTTCGCCACTCTCGTAATTTGAGGGATAGTCAAGCAAAATCAATAATCCATCCCCTTGGTCGGTTTTAAAAACGAAATTTTTAAATAGAAAATAGTTAACTTTGAGCGGGGAAAACTGGAGAAATTTCATTCGTTTCTCGTGCCAAAACGTGAAAACAGTCCTCGAGTTGACGAGCAATTGATGAAAAACGTCAAGAAAAAGGAAATAGTACTCCAAGTAATCCCGTTCTTCGTCGGTGGTACAGTCATAAATCGTGAGTCTCATTTTTTCCGGGTATGAGGCGAATTTCCAGCCAATCTTTTCATATGATCTCTTCAATGGATCAAATGACTCAAGCGGACACTCGGGTTCATGCGTACAAGTGCGACGAGGCGGGCTCCTTAACTGGAAACCGTAGCCCGGGATCGGTAAATCCTTTGCATCTTCATTCACTAACTTCTCACTTCGTTGCAATGCCCCCTGCAGCGGTACCTGTTTACTCATTGTGATCTCCCCCATTTTCACGAGATTCTCCGAGATTTTCTTCATCGCCTCGATTACTTTGAAGAGATCGATTGGCTCCAAGCCGGTGAGATGCAGTTCGTCGTGTTCGGGCAACCTCTCGTACCCAGCTGCTCCTCGCGCTCCAGAAATCAAAATCTCACATTCTCTGACGTTTAGCCGATATCCATCAAAAGTCATCACATTTAGAAGATCTTTTCTAACAAATCTTTGAAGTTCTTGATGCACCTCGTCAATGAAGAACCAAGTCTCGTGAGTGGCTTCAGAAAAGTAGGACTTAAAATAGATTCGCGTGGTGTACCGACTTCGTTTAAAGTCTTCCAATTTAGCCAACACTTTAACGCTTTCCTGATAGTTACTCCAAGGTGAGAGCGAGATTTTCACAGACGATTCGAGGAAATTGAAAAACGAGTAAAGACACTCGACAAGGCAGTAGAAGTCGTTGATGATCATCAACTCGAAAAGCTCCTCGATATTCTCCGAGTTCTTCACCGGGCTTGAATATGTGCAATTCCCTTGAATCCGTCCGTAGAGTTCTTCCCATTCGTGGAATTTGTGAATTTTATCGACATTTCTGCTAATAATTTTTGGAACGTTTTGATAGAAATTCTCCTTTTGCTCATCGCTGAGACTCAGGAATTTCTCAAGCAAAAGTGGGACAATTTTTGCCTCGAATAACGCCGAGGTTGCGTCTTTTTGAGTCAGTTCTTCGATGAATGGCCCATAGCTGAAACGATTGGACGAAGAAAGGGAAAAAGAAAGGGATGAAAAGCTGGAGAGCTCATCAACTTCCACAGCAATTCTCTCAAATTGTCCATCGAAACCGATTGGACGCAAAAGTTTTGTTTGGCTTTCTTCGATTCGAGGCAGAGGATCGAGCTCGCTGATAAAGAGATTTTCCTGAAATTTCTTTGCTCTATTGTTTATTGTTCAACTAATTACCGATTTTATCCTCTGGATTTCCTCAAAAATCTCCTTGGCGTTGGGCCGGTGGTCACGATTGAAATTTGTACACCTAAGTGATTGAATCTATACAATAAAGAGTTGTGAGCTAGTTTTTATTACATGCAAAGAATGCATTACATGCAAAGGCCAACTGGCCAAAGCCATATCTAGCCAGGCCTGGTCCGTGGCTCGATCTGGACTGACTTAATCTAGTCTAAAATTTTACACAACTATCCCCCCAATCCCACTCCGAGGGGGTCACCCTGAGCTTTCTTGGAGGAATCACCCTGACCTCAAGCCATGACGAAGATCTGCTGCCGTCTTGGGGAGCCTATACCCCGAATCTCCACGTTTTAGAGTCTTTCAAATAAAACCAGATCTAAGTTAGGCTAGACCCTAGGTCATTAGCCTAGTTTAGTTTCATTGACCTAGTCTAGGTTGGTCTGATCTGGCTTGTTACTCAATTTCAAGCCAAGCTAATTGGAAGTTGAAAATATCACATGATTAAACGTAATCGTTTCTTTTTCTTGGCCTGAAAATTTAACAATACGTTCGGAATCAGCTTAAAATTCTCCGTCGAATGGTATAGATCGTATAGAATTTGGCCTGCTCAGCCAGTTGAGCTTCCCTTGTTAGTTCTCAACCGATAGAATCCCCTGTATGCAAAAGACCATTAAAAGCGTGCAAATTCGTAGATCAATAAGCCTCAAATTCTAACCTGTCGACGAGTTCCTGAATGTCTGACTGACATTGTGGTGACTCGAGTTTCGTGAATCTCTTCAGAATGATGTCAAACAGAAAGCTATCCCTATTGAAGCAACCCTGCCCATCGTAAATAGCCTCATAATTGTAAGCCGAATACACAATACTGGAATTTTAAAAAGTCGTTAATTTTGCTAAAAGCTAACCGTCTCTCGATGATCTCCCACAAGATGAGCCCCAAGCTGTACACGTCGTTTCGATGTGAGTTCTAAATTGACACCAGGGCTTGAGTCAATGGACTTTTGCCTAGGTAGATCATTTTCTGGCATTTCCACCTTTCTAAGCTTACTTCAGGATCGGCTTTCATTTGATCTGAAATGGCTTTGGTTCCGTCGAATTGCGGAGGACTCGTGTATCTCGTTGTTGGCCCCAACGATCCTGTACCGGTTTGCTCGATCACTTTCACCAAACCGAAATCCCCGAATTTCAATGTGTAATTCGCCATGAAGCCCATGACAAAAACGCTAAATTGACTTTTGATTTGACTTTCTAACTAGAAGTGAAATTATAATCGTACTTGTCTGGCTTGATGTCCCGGTGGACGAGTTTGTGTTCCTCAAATAAATAGGAAAGTCCATCGGAAAGTTGTTGCGCCCATTCCAACACCGTTCGCATTGAATAAATCATTTTCTTCTCTTGGAGTACTAAAAATCTTTTTTTTAAGTTCAGCCAAGGATTGTTTCAAAACCAAAACACTATGCCAAAAAGGCTTGCCGAGACCAGATCTTGTCCCTGAGCTGGTTTAGCTCCAGCCCTCTAGAGATTATATTCGAATTTGGACGAGCTCTCCAATAAAGACTCTAATGGGACTGGCCAAGGTTGTTCTAAAGACTTTTCGGCTCTTGAGTTCTGGGACTTTTGGAGTCAAATGCTAACTGCCGCTAATTTCTGCAGTTAGCAAATGCGTCTCTAAAACTTAGATCCCGGAAATTGCTTTAAAGTTGAGAGACGCATTTGCGCTTTGAATAAAAAAAAAGCTAAAAGTAAAAGAAAGCAAAATCAAGTAGAATCAAGTGGAAAATGAACGGAAAAGATTCCCCTCAGCTAATTTTTTTGACAAGGGAATCCCACCAGACCCCCTTCCTTGTTTGGCTGGAAACAGAGTGTTTTTGATCCAGAATTTCGCGGTGATTCCGAATCTGTAATCAGAAGTTCCTAAAGCCTTAAACAAAAAAGATATTCAACCTTTTCTTTTCGTCACATTTTTTCGCAGCCATCGACGCGCAATAAGATCCTTTTTAAGATTTATAAGATCGCAATAAGATCGCAATAACATCACAATAAGATCAACTCTATCGGCTACGACGGTGGCCTGGTGGTTAGTGCGCTTGCATCATGGGAGAATCTCAGCCTTTTTGCACGGTTTCAATCCCCCATGCCGCCATCTTTTTTTGCTTTTTTGATTTTTTTTGTGTAAAATTGGTTTTTAATTTTAAAAAATTCATTAGATGCAATTGGTTACAACGAAAAAACGTGAGGATACCAATTACGTTTTAGAAAAAAAGTGGATAGGTAGTGCGAATTTTTCTTCTCTGGTTCAATTCCAATCCCCGAATTTTTTTGCTTTTTAAAAACAATCTTCTAAAGCAGTTTGATTCCAAGCTGACAATGAAAGGCTATCTCAATTAACAAGCACTAGAGTAAGCAAAGACGTGAGGATACTAATTACGTTTTAGAAAAAAAAACGAAAAAAGTTATTGATGCTATACTATTTTAAATTTTATTATTATAAAGATAATGAATTTGTTTAATTAAAAACCAATTTGATACGAAAAAATCAAGAAAGCAAAAAAGATGGCGGGTTGGGGGATTGAAACCGTGCAAAAAGGTGGCAGTTGGCCTATGACGCAAGCGCAATAACCCCTAGGTAAGGATGTTATGGCGCGCCGATGACTGCGAAAAGAAAAGGTTGAATATCTTTTTTACTTGAGGCTTTAGGAACTTCTGATTACAGATTCGTAATCACCGCGAAATTCTGCATCAGAAACACTCTGCTGCCAGCCAAACAATGAAAGGGTTCTGGTGGGGTCTCCTTGTGAGATCCTTCCAGATAACACAAAAGTACCCATCCCTGCAATCCAGCTAGCAATTTGCTTAATTACAAATTTCTCCTTGTGATCACTCACAATTCTTCAGCGTTCCCCCTTCACAGTACTCCATAATGATGCCGAATTTATCTCTTCTAGTGCCGAATGAAAAGCCTATGCCCCAGATCTCCACATTTTAGAGTCTTTCAAAGAAAACCAGATCTAGGTTAGGCTAGACCCTAGATCATTAGCCTAGTTTAGTTTCATTGATCCAGTCTAGGTTGATCTGATCTGGCTTGTTACTCAATTTCAAGCCAAGCTAATTGGAAGTTGAAAATATCATATGATTAAACGTAATCGTTTCTTTTTCTTGGCCTGAAAATGAAGCGGAGTCTAGCCCTGATTTGACCTTTGAAAGAAAAGGTTGAATATCCTCTTTGTTTGAAGCTCTAGAAGCTTCTGATTACAGATTCGTAATCCCCGCGAAATTCTGCATCAGAAACACTATGTTTCCAGCCAAGCAATGAAGGGGTTCTGGTGGGGTTCCCTTGTGAGATTCCACCAGATAACACAAAAGTACTCATCCCTGCAATCCAGCTAGCAATTTGCTTAATTACAAATTTCTCCTTGTGATCACTCACAATTCTTCAGCGTTCCCCCTTCACAGTACTCCATAATGATGCCGAATTTGTCTCTTCTAGTGCCGAATGAAAATCCCTCAATAATCTTTGTGCCGATGAGTGGCACCAGATTCGTGTGATTCAACTCTTTCATCGTCTCCCATTCGATTTTAAACGCCGCGAGTTTCTCCTTTGTGTCACAGTCGATGTATTTGATGACGGCAGGTCTAGAGTTGTTCACGATTGATTTTAAAACAATCAAAAAACAATATCAATCAAAATTTTTTAATCTTTAAACTAATGTTTTAAAATTTCAGAGCTAAAATAGAGGAATTGTGAAAACGAACGGTTGATGGCCGACAAGCTCGAAAACTTGCCCATAAGTTCCCCTGCCGATCCAGCGCTCCTCGAAAGCATGCACATTTTGATCAATGTTCATTATTCATCAATTTTAAATCTAAAAGTCAAGATAAACGCGGGGGTTTGTGAAAATTGAACAAATTGAAGCCAAATAATAAAAAGTTCCGCCAAAACATTGCCAAAACAAAGATAATGGATTTTTTTTAAAGAATTTTCAATGCAGAATGGGATTCTTGAGTGAAAATTGCTTTAAAAATGATATGAAATTGTAAGTCTAGGCTTTCTTAAACTCCTACTGCCAGTTGAAAGAGTGTAAAATCAAAAAAACAAAAGCCAAATGAGCAGTCGGCAGGGTGAATTGATTGAGTTTTGTGGAAAAAGAAATAAAAATTGCGCAACAAAAGACACAAATGAGAGATAAGAGTGCGTCATAACTTCCCGGACTCACTTCCAAGAGTCTAGCTCAGCTAAAATCAAAACAAATCTCTCTGATTCTTTTTTCAGAGGTAAATTTTGACTAGGTCTTCTGCAGCAGTGCCCAATGTTTACTCGATCGGAGTAAACACAAGTTTTATATAAGCTCGGAGAGTTGAAAGTCGCGCTTCCGCTGGCACGCAATGGTTTTTGGTATTTAAGCCACCATTCTTGCTGCAAATCATTCTGAATTTTGTTTTTCTTGCAAGGAAAGTGTTAATGAAAATATCGTCATGCAAAGTAAGCCGTTTAGAAAAATCATAATCATCATCTCTCTCATTTCCAGTCGTTTTCTCGCCCTATCCAATGACGGGATCTATTTTCGATACACGATACATTCCCGCTTTTTCAGCTTTTCTTCCGATTTCTTTTTGGTGCTCTCATAGTTCATCCTATTCATTCAAACGGTTTTCGATTTTTACGCAATCATCGACTACGTGGTTATTCCGCTGTTTTGGATGGCTGAATTTTATTTACAAATTGCTCTTTAAGGTTCTAAAAAGCTCGCATTAATTCATTTTTTTTACAAGACAAAAAGACAATTCGTGTCAATTGTCTTGTTGAGTCCTCCTTTTTTTCAGCTCAGCCTCTTCGGTGTCATTTTGAGCTCTCTGTGTGCCCACGTTGTCTACCAAAAGATCGCTCTCTCAAAAAGTGCCAAATTCATCCTTCTCATCGACAATTTGTGTCGTTTCATCGAATCATTTCTCTATTTTTACTATGATGTCTGTGTTTGGGGGTAAATTTAGAGAAATCGCTTTAAGAGAAAACATCTCTTGTTTTCCCAGATGGCAATGTGTTGACATGACGGGCTTCTTGCCGGCTATCTGGCTGAATTGTCTCCTCTCCTCATTCCAAATCGCTCTCCTCTACTCGATGTAGCTCTTTCTTCAATTACGCAAAAGCCTTTTTTCTTTTCCAAAAGTGTTTAAACTAATTCAATATCGTAGAACTTGAATTAAACTGTACAAAAAGATTAAAAATTAGTAAAAAACAAGCTAGAACAAGTACGAAAACCGTTGTACCGGATTTCCGTTTTAGATGTGGTCAATATTGACAGAGCTTTTCTATCATGGCTGTCTCGTCGAGGTGTTCTTCCCGTCGCCGAGCTTTGGCGGTTATGGAATCCTTTACATCAATCCAATTTATGAGTTTAGTGCAAGTACATTATTTGTAAGTTGTTGCCATTTGGTAACTAGAACTATCAAGAACTGTCCTGTCCATTTACATACTGTCCATCTGCAGCAAAATCATAGAACCCGTCACCCAGAAATTCTGGCCTTTGGGCCACCAAACTGCTAAATTTCGTAAAAATTAACGTTGCAATTTGTTAAATTTAGCTACATTTAGCAGAGTTTTTCTAAATTTAACTAAATTTTGTCCAGTTTTTAAAACAACCTTTTGGCGTTTAGCAAAAGTTACAAAATTGAACAAAATATGTTTTTACGCTAAACAAAATATGCTAAATCGTTTTTCAGTTGCAGTTTTGTTTTGTTTTTTATCTGCGTGACTGTTTGTTAAACTCTAAGCATCTTTAGGCTTAAAAAAGTTAACAAAATTTTCAAACAAAATAAGCTCAAGTAAAATTTGAAGGAGCAAAAAATTGAATTTTGCTAGATGCTAAATGGGTGTTCTTTGAAGGCACAGAAAATAGAAACAGAAATATGCAAAAATATGGAATTGAGCACAGAAAATATGCAAGAATATGCAATTTTGGGTGCTCTTTCCAAATCTGATGTTTCTTTTTTTGGAATTATATTGAAAAGTGACTACTGGCCTCAGAAAGACATCGATGCATGGGTTTCAGTTCTTAGGATCAACAGAATTTTGATCGGACAATCTGATCAGAATCAGATTGTCAAAGATTAGAATAAATTTTGAAAATCAAGCACTGGTGCAGAATAAAAACAGTGTGCAGATAGCTTTTCTGTGAAATTTTATTTGATGCTTTGATCTTTGAATATCTCTGATTCTTTGAATATCTCTTTTCCTTCCTCTAACGATCGTTTGTGTGATAAAAAGAAATAGAGCCCACTTTGTATTCCCTTTTCCTTGGCTTTGCAAACACTGAACCAATGGTTGATTGGATTTTCTCGCTAGATTAGTGCTAGATTCGGAATCAAAAATCTAAACAATCATTGCCCCATCGGTACCCTTCACTGCACAAACGGTATTGTGACGATAAGCCCAAGTTCAAGTTCAAGTTCAAGTTCAAGTTGAGCAAATTTCCAAGTAAAGATGAGCCGAAAATCACCCGAAACACAGCTCCTACCATTCTCTTTCAGACAATCGGAATGCTAATCGTGTCAAACATGATCGTTTCAACATTTCAATGTTTCCTTTATCGTCATCAACTTCTTCTGCATGATGGTCATTGGTTAAAGTGAGCTTGAAGTGCTTATCTGCTGAGGCAATCCTTTTTTTTCAGATTTTCCACATGGAAATGGTCGTTGATCATCGGTTTTCACTATATCACAATCGTCCCATCGGTCCTCATTTGTCTCAATTCATTTCCGATCGATCGGGCGACGAATTTGAATGCATCGATGAAGTTGTTAGAGGTTTTCTTTTTTGGGAACACCCAAGACTGAAGTCAAAGGTTGTCCAGGAGTATCCAGAGTATGCATTTGTTGCCAATGATCCGAACATTTGGATAGCCGACACGTCACTTCCCATCTTTCCACCAATAATTAATTTCTCTGGCGTGGTTGGCCTTTGTATTATCTCGTCTTTCTTTGCTCCAGAGATCGGAATTGTGGTGGGTTGAAAATGAATCTGTCAAATTAACTCGAGCATTGAAAATCAGCCAAAGCCTGTAACCACGTCTTAAATTTATCCGTATTAGTCAGTCAGTGTCAGTCAATTAGTCAGTGCTGCGTAAATCCAAAAAAAGATTACCAGCTCCGAATAGGATAGGCTAGCTTTTTAATCAGTTTAATCAAATTCGACGAAAGAACGAAAGAAAAACGAATTTCTATGAGGTATTTGATGTTTTGTTCAATCTGTTTGGTCTTTTTTCGTCTTAAACGCGATCATATTCATTAAATAAGTTCAAAAACGGCTCTTAAAAACCTTAAATTTGGTTTTTCACCAAATGTACCGCGACTCTCAACTTTCTAAGGTCATATCAAGATTCTAGAAGCATCAATCCGTTAGAAAATAAGCTTGGCTACAGGAGACATCCTCAAAAATCACCTCCAAAAATTTCATACGGATTCATTGAGTTCTCGCTGAGCTAGATCATCAGAAGTGAGTCACTAGAATCCGCGGTCACCCTGTAGCTGCAAATTCGTAGTTTATTACACTCCAATTTGCTCATTTATTGCCCATTTGATTAGGTAACAGCGGCGATTTTCCATTCATTTTATCTACTCAACGGAAACGGTCTCGTAATGAGTGCAAAGACGAGAAGCCTTCACAAGAAGCTCTGTATCTCGTTAGTTGTCCAGGTTTGTCTCTCTCCTCCATTCACCCATCCATTCCCCTCACTTTCCTCTCATTCAGATGGGCCTTCCCTTTACTCTTCTCGTTTTTCCACTCCTTCTTTATGTCTTCCTCTTATCAACAGACACAATGATATCACAAGAATGGCTGAATGGAAGCATGGGTCTTGTTTTATCTCATGCAACCATCTCATCGGTGTTGATCTGTGTCTTCACCGAGCCCTATCGCTTGTTTTTGGGCAAAACGGTGAAGAGAGTAGTGAGGTGAGCAACAGATGATGTTCAAAGTCTCATTTGAAAAAGATTTAGATCGATAAAATGTCGTTCAATCCGAGTTTCACAGCAAGAATCGGCACGAAGAACGGTCACCCAAACCACAGGCATCATCTGGTTACATTAGCTGATATCTGATATCTGAAAGTGATTACATTCTTTATTTTCACTTTATTTTGGAAATATTGCAGAGAGAATATTGCAGGAAATATTGCAGATACGTACTAGACACGGGAAAACTCCAAACCGAACCTAATTCCACCTTGTTTGTTCATGTTTGTTCATGATTGTTCATGTTCATGTTCATGAACAATCGCTTTTTTTGTTTCATTTATTCGATAACCCAAAACGGCAACAAAGTGAATTTTAAAGACTTTTGCGTTAACAATTCACAATATCTTGAATAAAACTCTTATTTTTTTTATTTAAATAATTCTTTGATGCTTTATAAACCTTTAAAATATTTAAAATGACATTTATAGAAGGCTAAAACTCTCTCTATAACAAAACTCTATATACCGTATTTTCTCTAATAGTAGTGCACCCCAGCGAGCCGAGTTGGTGACTATTTTACGGTTTCGAAGCTTTTGCAGAAGCTCAACACTCAAATCGCTCACTAGATCTCATCGTCAGCTACATTTTCCGACCTCACATCGATAGGTTCTGATAAGCGGTTCTCGAGATTTCGAGGAATTTAGGCGACGCTCAGGGTGCACTACTATTAGAGAAAATACGGTATATGGCTGAAATTTGAATGGCTAAAATTTGAGTGGCTAAAATTTGAGTGGCTAAAAATTGAATTCATCTCTAAACGACAGTTTACTTTTCAAGAAAGATCCAATCGTTAAATATCGGACTTTTATGAAAAGAGTTTTTAAAGATAACGAATGCGGAACGAATTATTGATAAATTACAGAGATCATGAGAGAAGATCTTTTGCTCGCATTCTCTGATATCAGGCATTGATCGACAAATCGCTTATATGGTGACTCAGGAACTCGAGATTGTGCAAAAGTTTTCGACGCGATGGAGAACGATTCTGGCCTTCTGGTAAGATTCTGGGTTTTAAGAAATTTTCATACTTTTCAACTTATATATTACAATGCTTTTTAGTAGGCTTTTACGGCTTTCTTTATGATATTTGGTTTATAATTTTAGGATATTTGGTTTATGCAATAACTTCCCACATATATTGATGCTGAGCGCAGCTGCGGATATCATCGAAAAGGGAAAATATTCTAATGGAACTGAGAATGCAAAGTGTTTGGTTAGTTGTGTGAAAAAGGCTAATTAAGAGGAGTTTTTGCTCTTTTTATTGCGTTCCATAAAGATGAAAGAAAAAGTTTTTAGTTCGATCGAGGCACACGGCATTGTGATGGAACAAAATCGGTCGGAATGATTCTCCTATTTGACAATGCTCCTGGTTTCATCACGAAACTCATTGTCATATTTTTGGCGCAAGGACTTTCCTACAAGTTGGAAGAAGTTTGAAACTAGCTCAAAAGGTATTTCAGTCTCCGAATGTTTGTTGTGGTTGTCTTGCAAGTGACAGCGCTCTGCATCGTGGCTCTTTCCGCGAATTATACTCTAGCTTTAATCGATGAGTATTTAAAAAGCAATCAATTAATAGAAGAGCTTGCTTATCAGGATTTATCAATACCAATCATTATCAAATATTTATCGTAACTGACTGACAAGTACTGACAAGTATTGAGAAAATATGATAAACCAGAAGCCGATTTCATCAACTTAAGTCCGTGACCGAACAAATGACTGAAGTTAAGTCAGTTTTCACCAAATTCTAGGCATGGACTTCAATTTTCGTTGTCAGTGACTTAACTTTACAATAGAAAACGCTAAATGACCAAATATGGTGACCTAATGCTGACTTAAAGTTTTTTTTTAGTGATTTAAAGTTTCGTGAAACGAGCCTTAAAGCTAAGTCAATAATTTAAAGTTAAGTCGGTGATTTAGTTAATTTAGTGACTCAAGAAGCAGATTTAAGGCTTTGACTTATGAAATTTCGCTAAGTCAGTGTTTTAAATGTGATTGTTCAGTTACTTTGGTGAAACTGGCCCCAAATCTAATCAATAGTGATAGCTTCTGACGAATTTCAAAGGAAAAATATGGATTAGCTTAGAAATAATAATAATAATAGTTTAGGGCGATGGAAAGAAACATATAAAAAGTAGATTTATTTACATGAAGAGCTGGTAAGAACGACAGATATGAAAAACGAACCGAAAACAAGACCGGGCGGTGATATTAACTAAAAACTTAACTTTTGAATACTTTCAGAATAAACTTTTATCTTATTTAGGTGTCATGACAGCCTCAATATCAAATGGTATTGGAGGAACGACGATTCTCTCATATTCTTCTCATTTCCCTGACTCAACCCCGGTAGCTGTCTCGTCTGGAATGGGCGCCGCCGGGATTGTTGGTAATCAAAAAACATTCTTTTCTTTTTTCCATTGTGCAACAGAAAGTACTCCACGCCTTTAACTGAAATCTATTCTATGATCGTGCCAAAAAGATCATCAAAGGGAAAATTGCAAAAATACTAACGTTTTGGGCCGAATTTTGAGTGCATTTGAATTCGATTGAGACATTTGATACGCGCCACGCCCCTTTTCCCATTAGCAATCCAACCTTGAGCTCAAATTTCTTGAGGTTGGGCTATTCAATTTAAGTATTCTTATCATCATTAGATGCGCCAAGTCTTTCTCTGTCGATTGGTACAAAAACTATTTAAATTGGACAGCCAAACACCGAGATTTTTGAGCTCAAAGTTAGATTGGTAATGGGAAAGGGGCGGGGCGTATATAAAATGTCTCACGATGGCCCCGCCCCTTTTCTCGTCGGCAATCTGACTTTGAGCTCAAAAATCTTGGTGTTGAGCTGTTCAATTTAAATAGTTTTTGTACCAATCAATAGAGAAAGACTTGGCGCATCTAATGATACCAAGAACATTGAAATTGGACAACCCAAAACCAGGAAATTTGAGCTCAAAGTTGGATTGCCAATGGCAAAGGAGGCGTATCAAATGCCCGATAACCTTTGAATTCACAACTTTCCCGAAATCAACAACGAACAATAAATCCTAGAATTTTTTCAGGTTCTTTTTTATACGCTTCACTCACAGAGCCACATCTGGCTAATCTCTCTCCAGGAACAGCAATTCTCTTGATGTTGGTCAGTTTTTAGGCAAAAGACGGTTTCTATCAAATGATTTGTCGTTTGTTTTTGTTTTTATTTATATTTTAGGTTTTTCCCTTCACTCTAGCTACGTTTTATTGGCTGGTTCTGGATCATCCATCAAATTTAATGAAAAAGTGCTTGAAAGATCCAACTGAGGATTGTCAAGAGTACACAGCAAGACAAGCAATAAAATCCACAAGTCTCATCGAGAAAATTGGCGCCATAAAGGTTTGATTGTTTTAGCTTATCACAATCACATTTTTCTAGCCCTCTCTTCGATTCCTTCTCCCAATGATCGTTGTTTACATGGCCGAATATACAACTAATCAGGGATTTGTGGGCTACTTTTATTTCCCTAACGATCCCTATTGTTTAACAGATTCAATTCATTGTGTTTGACTGTGCAAACGGGTTCGGGCTGGCCAAAATTAGTCAATATCGATGGTTTCAGGTGAAAGCAATAATACAGGGTGACAAAAATGATCTTGAGTTGGTATTTTCGAATTTCTGACACACCATTTGCGCCCAGCATTGAAAGCTCAGCTCTCAAAGAGTACCTTATAGCCTTATAGTTATGACTAGCGAAATATGGAAAAAAAGAAATTAGCTGATACCAAAAAAATAACAACAACTTACTAGGGAAGCACACGGATTGACCACCGAGTTACGACTAGCGACTAGCGACTACGATATAGCGCCTTTTATTGGAAAAAAATTAGCTGATCCCAAATATGCAATCACAAACCACGAAAAGGTTTGTGGAAATCGGCTAAAAATAGCCTCAAAGTTGATGATTTTTGAAAGGTTTTCTCAAACTTCTGGCACACCATTTGTGCCCAGCTTTTATTTTTTGTGCATATTCGGAATCAGCTAATTTTTTTCCAAGAAAATGCGCTATGTCGCTAGTCGTAACTCGGTGGTCAATCCGTGCGCTTCCCTAGTAAGTTGTTGGTATTTTTTGGTACCAGCTAATTTTTTTTCCAATATCTTACTAGTCGTAACTCGGTGGTCAATCCGTGGGCTTCCATAGTTAGGAGTATCTTTTGGTACATATAACAATGGCCTAAAATTAGACCGAGAAAAGAATAGAACAGTAAACGTAAAAGAACGAGTTATTTCTTGTCACCATTTACTAGAAACAATCAAATACTGTTTCAACGTTGCACATAAAACATAGAGATAAAAATAACGATTTAAAACATAAAACAGGGACAACGATCTCTGCCTTATGCATAAGGCAAATCGTTGTCTGATTTGTACCAGGATCAATAGTAGTCAATCAATATCTTTGAGACTACCTTACCTTTCGTATTCTTATCGATTCGGATCCATTGGGTTGGTGAATTGAAAATTGCGGGACTTTGAACTAAAATTCATTGAACATAAAACCATGAATTCATTCGAAATAATTTCCATTATTATTGACGACTTCTGCCCATTTTACAGGCAATTTGTGGATTCCTCTTTCGTAGTAGGATTTTGGTTTGTGTGTGAGACAAGTGTGAGACTCAAAAATGGAGGACTGGAGATGTCAGCTGTCAGCCCAGTTTGAGCACTTTCTTCAAAAGAAACCCATTTTGGTGTCAATAGAAAAGTTGTAGAGAATCAAAAATTAGACTTATAGCCAAATTTCCAAAAAGATACACGTAGTAGTTTCGCTTAAAATGCAAGTTTTGTAAAAATTCGTAAATTTCGCATTTCTTGAAAACCAGTTTTTGAATCGTTCTGAAAATTTGGATATAAGCTTGATTTTTGATTCTCTACAACTTTTCCATTGACACCAAAATGGGTTTCTTTTGAAGAAAGTGCTTAAACCGTGACATATGACAATAGCCGGCAGTTTTCAATTCACCAACCCAATATTTAAAACAAAAAAAATCCCAGTTCATCTATCGAGTGGGGACTTTCGTCACAAAAACTTCCCTTCTTTTCATCGATTTTTCAACAAATTGGCTCTATTTGTTCCCGCTTCTACAGGTTCTCGTTTATCTATCGAATTTGTTACAACTTAGTTTATCTTAGCTTTCAAATGGAGTTCTCTTCTATTTCGAAGCACTTTTTGCTTTTCTTCCGCACATTTCTCTCCCATTTCTGATGGTTTTTATCTCGGGATTAGTTGGCGGAGCTTGTCTATCAAAAACCTACAATCATATTCATAAAACGGTTTTCTTTTTGTGTGAACTTTTCCTCTAGCATATCCCGGTTTTTCAGACTCCCGCCGATTTCAAGCCATTTCTTCTCGGTGTCGCCAGTACAAGCGATACTTTTGGGATTTTCTTAGCGGCTTTCTTATCGATCTGGGTTTGGTGTTAAATCTCACAAAATAAATACGAATTTAGCTTCACAATCTCATCTGTGAGCAGCTTGGATAAAGATCGCGTTCTGATCGCGCTGTTTTGATTATCTACTGTTTAAAATGATCTTTATTTGCAATATTCTCTATATCATATCATTTAGCGATTGGTGCTTTTCGTAAACAAATTTCCCGTTGATTATTCGTCAATAAAATTGTATTTCTAAAGCCAGCTTGCTTAGTTGTTGCAACGTTATTTAATAAGTTCAGTGCTTGATTAGTAGACTCTTTTTGGAAGAATGTAAAACGGTTATTTATGCAAAGAATGTACAGTGAATCACAGATAATACCGGTGAGGCGAATGCTTTGATTTGAGATTTGTTTCCAACACTGGAAAACCATCTATTGTCGGCCGAAGAATGGGAAGCTGTTGAAGCCTTGAGAGCCTGAAATTGTCATTTTAGTACAATTTGAAAGTTTACAATAAGCTATTTTTGTACTCACCTCGTCCACCAAATCCTCCTTGGTTTCCGCCGAAATTTTGTTGTCCGCTTGGTCCGTTGTTGTTACCGAATCCGCTTTGGCCACCTAAAAACTTGAATTTTTGAGATCCTCGAAGAAATCATCTTTGACTTTAACCTTAGAATTTTTATTAGAATCTATTAGAATTTATTAGAATTTATTAGAATTAGAACTTTTTATTTTCCCTACCTGGAAAACCGCTTTGCCCACTTGTTCCACCGAATCCTTGGAATCCTCCTAGAAATGTGTTCCTTTCAAGATTATGAATCGAATACAATATTTTATAGAAAGCAATTCAAGTTCAAACCTTGGAATCCACCTTGTCCATTTGGTCCATTTTGTCCATTTTGTCCTTGTTGTTGTCCGCCAAAGCCTTGGAATCCTGAATGGATTTATAAGCAAAACAAGGACATTTGATTCTCAAAAGTCTCAAGATGAAAAGTAAGTTTTATAACAATTTACATCTTGAAGTGCTTTGCCACTGACTTAGTCCTCACCTTGGAAGCCGTTTTGTCCGTTTTGACCGCATTGGAATCCTCCTAAATTGGCGAGTTGAAAGATGAGGATGCAAATTTTTGATAGAACAACATTTGAATTCATTTCCAAAACCTTAATCGTTTGGGTATTCAAACCTTGTCCTTGTCCGAATCCTCCATTTTGTTCTCCTCGTCCTCCCTGTCCTTGTTGACCTTGTTGTCCGAATCCACCGAATCCACCTTGACCGTTCATTCCTAACAAAGCAATTTTTGAAATGCTATTGATTGATTCAAACTTTAGAAGCAAAATCTAGATATTTTGTTGCACTTTGAATCTAGATATTTCGTTTTGAAACTTTCCACTACCTTGGAATCCTCCATTTTGGCCGTTTTGCTGTCCAAAGCCTCCACGTCCTTGGTTTCCGCCTGAAAACATTTTAGCTTAGAGATTAAAACTTGAAAGCTTTTTGGTTTCAAATTCTTTCTAGAAAACTTTAAAGTTTCCTTTATTCGAACCTTGGAATCCTCCGCCGTTTTGTTGATTTTGTTGATTTTGTCCATTCGGCCCGCCGAATCCACCTGAACAAACACAAAAAAACTCGATGGAATGGAATCATTTCAAAGTTGAAAAAGTAAATGAACTAGATTAGATACAATGCAGTACAAGTTTCAAAAAGCTCTAATCTTTGCTCAGGAGATCCGGGGAACCATGAAAACCAACCTTGTCCGCCCATTTGTCCCTGTCCGTTTGGTCCGCCGAAGCCACCTTGTCCCTGGCCATTCATACCTCCTAAAATATTCATAAAGTTATCAAAGTTTGGTTTTGAATGCAAAACTGGATTTCAAAGCTGAAAATATGAATTTAAACCTTGAAATCCTCCATTTTGTCCACCATTTTGCCCACCGAAACCGCCTCGACCACCTTGGAATCCTCCTGAATTTTGAGGGATGGCTCTAATCTTTTTTTGATGTAAAAATTATGGAAACTTTTATAATAGGTATTTAGTAAATGCTTGATTATTAAGAACCTTGGAATCCTCCATTTTGTCCGTTTCCATTTGGTTGAGGTTGGTTCTGGCCGTTTGGTCCACCGAATCCTCCTGGAAATGTGACTTTTGATTCTCTTTTTGTCTGAATGTGAGTTTATCAAGCTTTCGACTAGATGCTTCGAGTTTTTCGGGATCGATTTTCTCAAAAATGCTTTTGACAATGCTTAAAAACCTTGGAATCCTCCATTTTGTCCGTTTCCATTGGGCTGTGGTTGGTTCTGTCCGTTTGGTCCACCGGATACTCCTGGAAAACTTGGAATTTCTTTTAAATTCTTAGCTTAGAAATTCAAAGCTTAATTTAGTGCAAAAGATTGGTGCTTTTTAAAATCAGCATAAGCCGCAATTTTGAAAACAGACCTTGTCCTCCATTTGGTCCATTCTGTCCATTTGGCCCGTTTTGCCCACCGAAACCGCCTGGCCCACCTAAAAGTAAAGATAAAGTGGAGCACTGAACAACACTGTAAGAATGCTGCAGTTCTACGAATTAAAGTTTTAGTTTTATTCCAACGCCAAAAGCAGACCTTGGCCTCCGTTTTGTCCATTTGGTCCAGTCTGTCCGTTTTGTCCTCCTGAACAGCTCAAGTTAGTTTAAGTTGAAATTTCACAGACCTTGTCCACCATTTGGTCCAGTCTGTCCATTTTGTCCGTTTTGGCCATTTGGACCATTTGGCACGTTCTGTCCGTTTGATCCATTGGGTCCACCGAAGCCGCCTGGTCCACCTAAATGACTTACAGATTCGCGTTCAAACAGCTTCGCATCAAATTATGCACTAGAAATTATCCTAGAGTCCTGTTAACAATTCAAGGAACTGAAACGTCAAACGGGTTTGAAAGTTCGAACCTGATCCACCGTTCTGACTGCTGAAACCAGCCGGGCCACAAGGCAAGTTAAAACTTTATGTCTAATGTGGGTAAGAACGATCAACTCCAATGTATACAAAGCACATTCTATATCATTATTCACAATCTGAACCCTAACTGTTTCCATTTCCAAACCTTGTGCTCCAATTTGAACGCTGCTTTGCCCAGAGACGCCGTTTGGTCCAGTTCCTTGGTTCGGGTAGTTGTTGTTACCAAATGGGCTAAAATTTTTCAAATATGGATTCGAAATTCACCAATCATTCAAACTCTAAGAAACTATATCACTTGAATAACTTCTTTGTAATATTGTAAACTCACAACGCTAAGAAAACACCAAAAGTGCTGAAGCGAGGAGGATCGTCTTCATCGTAAAACAAATTCAAACTAAATGTGCCCAACTTTCGAATAACTTTTCTCTTTATATATCCAAAGAATTGCTGTCGATGTGGATGAGTCGATGATTCTCTCAAAAAAAAACGATTTGAATATTTGCCTTTTCATTTTTTCGAACTAGCAAGGTCCAGCTGCCCACACATTGGCTCTGTGGGAATTCTTGGGTGATTCATTTGGTAGTATTTGTTTTATAGTCCATTTTATGTATTCAGAATGACCTCTTTGAATCGTGTTACTTCGCGGAAATGTTTTAGGAAGTTGGCAGCAATGATTTTTGAGTTTAAAATAAGAAGTGTTCGAAGATTTTTGGAAGTTTAAAAGCGGTTTAATGTTGGGTCTAGACCAATTTTGCTGAAAATATCTTTACTTAAGAAGGTTAAGAAGTGAATCAAAGATTCAATCGGCAAAAAAAAGTCTTCTAAAGCCAAAAAGAAAAACAAAAAACCTTCTAAAGCTAAAAACTCTTTGTTTATCGCCTGATTTGAGTTTGAGTTTGATTCTTTACCATTAGTTTGGTTACAGTTACAATTAGTTCTTTACAATTACAATTACAATTCGGTATTGGGTAGTTGGTACGGTGTGAGAGTAAAGGGGAAAGCGAAAGCCGGGTTTCAAAAAACTTTCAAAGAATAAAGCTCTACCATTTCTTTGCCTAAAGAGGTAACACTCTGTTAAAAACAAGTTACTGGATCACTAACGTTTTCGACTGAATAGGAGTAGCTTGAACTAAATACCACAATTCATAGTCACCTAGAGGTGCTTTCTCGATTGATTTCATTTCTTAAAATTATCGGATTTAGTCGATAAGCAGCTTTAGATTGAGAAGTTGTCTTCAGATTTTTGTAAGCTTTTTAGGACATCGTTCTTTTGCATTTTATGCTAGATAAAACAATATCACGAGCCAAAATTTGTTGAATAAATACCGGAAACAAAAGAAAAAAAAACATGAAATTCATGGAAAACAAGACGATCAAGAGGTTTACTGTGATCCAAGCACTCCTTGGAAGCCTGGAAATTGTCTGATCAGCTCGTGAAATTGTCAAAATCATGAAATTTGGGTTAAATTTACCGAAAAATCTAAGATTTTTAGAAGAAATAACATTTCTTAACTCGCCTTGTCCACCAAATTGCCCTTGATTGTTGCCAAAGTTCTGACCGTTTTGGCCATTTTGACCATTTTGTCCGTTTGAAAGTCCACCCTGTCCTCGTCCATTCAATCCACCTGAAATATCAATTCTTTTAAAAACCAAATAGCTTTTTCGATGGTAATCTTGTATTTTCTTATCTAAATTATCTTAAAATCCGAATTTCTTGTCTAAACCTTGGAATCCATTTTGTCCATTCTGTCCATTTTGTTCATTCTGTCCATTCTGTCCTCCTTGTCCATTCAATGCACCTACAAATTTTATTGAGCTTTTAGCTTTATAAAACAAAATAAATAGCTAATAAGATATTCAGTTAGTCCGTTTATTTGTCATTTTAATAAAAAACAAACCCTGGAATCCGTTCTGTTCATTTTTTCCATTTTGGTTAGAGAATCCTCCTTGTCCTTGTCCGTTCAATCCACCTAAAATTCATTAATTTGTAATTAATGTCATAAATAAATAATAAGGTATTCAGTTAAACTATTTCCTTTTAATATTTACAAAGACAAACCTTTGAATCCGTTCTGTCCTCCATTCTGTCCATTCTGCCCATTCTGCCCATTCTGCCCATTCTGCCCATTTTGTCCACCAAACCCTTGTCCGCTGAAGCCTCCTAAACAATTTTTGATTGAATGTGTTTGTTTTTAAAAGATTGTAGCCTGTTTTTCGCTTTAATCTTATTGAATTGTTAATAACAAACCCTGGAAACCGCCGTTTTGTCCTCCATTTTGTCCATTTTGTCCATTTTGTTGCCCATTTTGTTGCCCATTTTGTTGCCCGCCTTGTCCCTGTGATCCACCTGACAATAAAATGATGATTGTAAACTTTAGTATTAGAGTTTTTTATGTAAATTTTGATCTTACGGGTTTTCAAGAACTTTCAATTCTTGTTTATTCACCGAATTCACACCTTGTCCTCCATTTTGCCCGTTTTGCCCGTCAAATTGTCCATTGCTCTGTCCAAATCCTTGATTTTGACTATTTCCATTATTTGAGGTGGGGCTGAAAAAAGATTTCCTTTAATCTAATCTCTTTTCAATTACAAAATCGAATCTTCAAAACTCACAAAGCCATGTAAAGAGCAAAGAAGGCCGAAATGAGAATGACTGTCTTCATCGTTGATAGGGAAAGGTGTACTGTAGGTGTACTGAAGGTATTGAGTACTTCTGATCTTTTCCCAATATCCCCATTTATTTATATCAATTTACTTGTCGTTGATCTCTTTTTTGTTCTCTTTTTGATCCGATGATTCCCCCATCAAAAGATTTGAATATTTCTCTCACTCTCTCTTCCATTTCCTCCCAACAGCTGCCCACACATTTGACTCTTTTCTCTTTTCCAGTTCAAGAGTTCATTTTCCATCGAGAACTTTGTATTTTCTGATGTTCATGTCTAGTCAGGGAATTTGCTCGATTAGATTCATTTTCAGTAGAGAAACTTTTGGTTTAACTTAGCATTTCTTTAAACGCTTATCTTGCTAATAAAAATGCGATGAATAGCAGAGACGAGTCACCCGTTTTCGAGCACTTTCCTCATTTTTCTTTTTGAAAATCTTTGAGCTTTTGAATCTCTTTGAGCACTCTTTGAAAATCGGTGTCTATGTTTTCTTCTCACAACGAAGTCAGCCATTGATCACTGTTAATAGATCATGGTGGATTTGGGAAAGTCTATTTGTTAAAGAAATATCATCCGTAAGTGTTTCGATCGTGTTGCTAAAAGTTGAGCCTTAAAAGTTAAATAGAAATTGGTTAGAACAGGGAACTAAGTGCATAGTTGAAACTGGTGAACCATAAAGCTTATAAAGCTTTGAGGCTCTATTCCATTTTATCGTGATTCATCAAGAAATGTGTCAACTCTTCACTCCACTTTCGGTGAAACGGTGGCGCGGAACCACACGGGAGATCGTCCACTATATGGTGGAGGAAATTTCGAAAAATACGGGTTCTCCTAGTGCTGAGAATTGATTCCCAGCATCGTTCTGTCGTTTTCAGATGAGATTTGTCAGATTTCGAGTAGTTGGTTTTGGGATTTCGGTAAATTTCGAACCTTGGGGATACGTTCTCAGCTCACAAAAGTGAGACAACGAAGAAAAAATCCAAGGAGCTTCAGATCGATTTAATTCGTATGGATTTCGGAGAATAATCAATCAAAGCACCATTACGATTTATCATTTGAAAAATTCGGGCACTCATACTTCCAGTGAGATTTTACAGGACTAGCGGGTCGAACTTGACAATCATCCAAGATTTCATGAGTTGACTCTTGTGAATGGACGCATTATCCTGTTGAACATTTGTCACGGTTGAATTTTGAACAAGAAAAGGCACAGAAAATTGATGTGATTTTGGCTGACACGAACTTCAAATTGACCACACCCTGGGAAGAAAAACCGGGCCAAACCATAACGTTACCTCCTTTGTGCAAAAATTGATTCCAATTCTTTAGATCGATCCACAAAGATGCAAATAGCTTGCGGCATTCGGGATTAAACTATGAAAAATGAGATGATGTCCAAACTCATTTCACATCTTTAGTCTTTGTGCATCCCCTAGCGGAGACGCGTTCCAAAATTTTTTCGAGACACTGTTGGAAGGTCTCGGGGTTAATGCTAACCTCAAACTTGGGTAATTAAACCGTAGATTGGGCCCTCTGTCGCGCTATCTGGACGAGCCGTGTGCCAGATCCCGCTTTTCGGCACGGAACACGCAAAAGGTACACACAGTCGTGTCGTCTGGTGTCTCTGCGAGGGCTGATGCTCTCTCGTGATCGCCGGCGGCCGCCTATTTCACTCGTCTCTCACAGCCGTAAGTTCGCTTACGACCATACCACGTTGAAAACACGGCATCCCGTCCGATCTGCCAAGTTAAGCAACGTTGGGCTCGGTTAGTACTTGGATCGGAGACGGCTTGGGAATCCCGAGTGTCGTAAGCTTGTTTTTGCATTCTCGCTCTTGGACTTGACGAATGAAATAGGCGGCCGCCAGCGAACACGGGA